TTCATTCCCCATTTGGAAGAATTTTGCCTCACTTCACCTCCCATGTTCTGAGTTCAGCCAATTTTGCAGGACTTGCAGAGGATAAGGTGGCTTGATGACTTTGCAGCTCCCCTTCATAAGAATTGCTTCCAAATGTTTGTTTATTTATTCAATTTGTTTGCCACCCATTTTGCTGTGAGGTGTGTATTGCACATAGCTGGTTGGGTTAAAGCTGGTTAATGTAAAACCTATTCCCTATCCCAGTCACCACAAACCATTTCTAGGTAGAGAACATAATTTTTGGAAAAGGACCGAACCACCCTTAGAGTAATTGGGAAGATCCCCTCTGAGGAGGAACAGATGTTCTGGAATTCTCTGGAATGTTCTATTGCACATGCACAAACCAATCAGACACACGTGATATGAAATAAGGACATGGATGGGTGCAGTTGATTTAGTTATCAGAGATCCCCTCATCTGGAATAGTTGTTTATCTAATATTTTTATTAAATAAGAATGGGAAAGCTTATGTAAGGGGGAGAGAATCTTATCTTTTTTTTTTGTTATTATTTTATTTTCAGCATCCAGCTGGGGTGGATCCTTTATGTTTGATGTTAGATTTATTTGATATTTGGGTCACTTTTTCCCCTTTTTGTCCATGATTTCCCCCCTTTTTTTCTTATTAGTGTTGGATGTTTGTTTTTTTGTTTTGCATTTTATTCTTGTTGATAAACAAAATATATATAACAAAAAGAGGAAGTGGATGGGTGTGTGTGTGTAAGAAATATATTTTCACTTTTGCGTGGAGCAGAACTGGGAATATTTTGACATTGCAGGATTGGGACAGGACAGTGATTCAATGATCATGTGAAGAGTTAATAGCAATAATTTATAATGTCTTGGTAAAACTACACTTTGAATACTGCAAACCACTTTGATCACCATGATGTAAAAAAGATGTGGAGACTCTAGAAAGAGTGCAGAGAAGAGCAACAAAGATGATTAGGGGACTGGAGGCTAAAATATATGAAGAACTGTTGCAGGAACTGGGTTATGTCTAGTTTAATGAAAAGAAGGACTAGGGGAGACATGATAGCAGTGTTCCAATATCTCAGGAGCTGCCACAAAGAAGAGGGAGCCAAGCTATTCTCCAAAGCACCTGAGGGTAGAACAAGAAGCAATGGATGGAAACTAATCAAGGAGAGAAGCAACCTAGAACTAAGGAGAAATTTCCTGACAGTCAGAACAATGAATCAGTGGAATGACTTACTTCCAGAAGTCGTGGATGCTCCAATACTGGAAATTTTTAAGAAGAGATTGGGCAACCATTTGTCTGAAATGGTATAGGATTTCCCGTCTGAGCAAGGGGTTGGACTAGAACACCTCCAAGGTCCCTTCCAACTCTGCTATTTTGTTAAACTGCTTTTGAAGGATTGAATATTGAAAAGGTTTCAGAACTGCCCTTGTTCTTTGCTGATGAATCTTCTTTCTTGGGTCTTTAATCTGTTTGTTTGGTTTTAATTTTGCTAATCACAGTGCAGCCTTCAGCCAGTGGGGCATCAGAGGGTTAGTGATGAAGTGAACAATGAAGAAGATTTGGTCATGTTTCCTTTTTTTTAAAAAAAATAATTTTTTTATTAATTTTTCCAAGTTTAAAATCAACATAAGACAAAAACATTGATTATACATAAAAACAAAAACCATACATTCCCCTCCCTTCCTCCCCCATTCATAACACTAAACATACAAACACATCTATCCCGGCAGATAATGTTCCTGCCCTCGTTAATAAATAATTATGCCCACAACACAGAATAAAGTAAATAATCTCTAAATATGGTTGTCATACAATTATCGTTTAATCTAGATAAATATATTTCTCCTCATATTGACTTAGGCCTTCACTTCATCTCAATCCTTTTATTCAACCACCGATATCAACTGTCCCAACTTTGAAAAAATTCAGAATCCTCCTTTTCTTTCAACATATACGTCATTCTATCCGCCTCAGCGCACTCTAATACTTTATTTATAATTTGGGCACTAGCCGGTATCTCTTTTTCTTTCCACTGTTGGGCGAATGCTATTCTAGCTGCGACTAAAATATGTAGAGTGAGATACCATTTTTTCTTACTCAGCCCCTCTGATTTGGTCATGTTTCCTGATGCCTTTGCAGTTGGAATGGACTTCAGAGGAGTTTGGTGTGGGTCTAGGACATGGGTGTCAAACTTGATTGAGGGCCATATCAGGGTTGTGTTTGATCTCGGGGGGGCCAGGGTGGGGGAGGCCACGGTGGGCATGGTCAGTTCGACATCACTCCTGTCAGGGGTGCATGTGGTGACCTGAGCGCTCTGCCAAAGAAAACAGACTCCCGAACTCTGTTTTCATTGGCAGGGGGTTGCAGGAGGCCGTGGCAGCCAAAAACGGAACTCGGGAGCCTCTTTTCGCTGGCAGAAGCACTGCAGGCCGGTCCTTTGCTGTTTCCAGGGTGGCCCTGTGGGCCGGATTTAAATACTATGGGGCCAGAGTTTGGCACCCCTGGTCTAGGACAACTCGTCGTGGCTAACTTACCACAGGACAAGAGTTAAACTATTACTTAAGAAATGGTGGAATAGAATTGTTAAAGAAAGGAGGAACAAAATGAAATACGAATCACAAAAATTAAAATAAATGTTTAATTATTTGAAATAATTAAATTGAATTATTGAATTGTCCCATGGCGAGTGGCCGTGGTGAATTAGTCGTGGCAGGTTGTTGCATTCCGGGCTTGGTGTAGTCTCGCAAGGGAGGAAATAAATACTTGGGAAGCAAAGTTGCCCCAAGAAAAATCTGGGCAGGAGCAGAGAGGGAGGGAGGGAGGGAGGGAGGGAGGGAGGGAGGGAGGGAGAGAGAGAGAGAGAGAGAGAGAGAGAGAGACTGACTGACTCAGATTCCTTAGCGCAACCTCAGGAGGAAACCTTGGAAAAGCCCACGAGAAATCACCTTTCTCTTTCCGTCAGGATGATGATATCCCTCTGGGTTATTTCTAAAATGAAAAGTACACGGGCTTTGGTATAGTTTGGTTCGGGACTTTTGCTCTAGAAAGAAAGGGCTGTGGCTTTATTGTGGCTTTATAGTTTATGATCTATTTCCTGCATCTTTCACAAGAGACGCAATGCATTGGATCAGGCCAGCTTCCTTCAAGAATGCTTCTGCTGGATTGCCACCTGTTGCCCTGCTGTTCGAGGCAAAGGAGTTTGGGAAGATAACGTGAGCGAGTTCTTAGGTGCAGCATGATCGATAACACTTCTTCCAAAATGCTCTTAAATAAAAATAAGGCCTGGAGACTAAAACATATGAGGAATGGCTGCAAGATTTGGGTTTGGCTAGTCTAAAGAAAAGAAGGACTAGGGGTGACATGATAGCAGTATTCCAATACTTGAGGGGCTGCCACAAAGAGGAGGGGGTCAAATTATTCTCCAAAGCACCAGACAGCAAGACAAGAAACAATGGTTGGAAACCAGGGGTGGGTTCTACTTACCTTTACTTCGCATCGCACCCGCACATATGCAGATCGCTTATGGTGACGTCCGGGTCAGTGGGCGGAGCATCCCGCCAGTTTTACTACCGGTTCTTGCGAACCGGTCCGAACCGGGGGCAACCCACCACTGTTGGAAACTAATCAAAGAGAGAAGCAACCTGGAATTAAGAAGAAACTTCGTAACAGTGAGGACAATTAACCAGTGGAACAGCCTGCCTCCAGAAATCATGGGCACTCCATCACTGGAAGTTTTTAAGAAGAGTCTAGAGTTCAGACTGTCACTTATCTGAAATATTATAGGTTCTCCTGCTTGAGCAGGAAGCTGGACTAGAAGACCTCCAAGGTCCCTTCCATTCTATTGTCCTTAAAGTTGTGTGGCTCAGCATGGGGCCCAAATTCAGGCCAGTTTTAGATCAAAGAGTTAAGGCCATATGGTCAGCAGAATCAAGGGGAAATTGGCTTCCTGTGGATATTAGGTGTAGACAGTCCTCAATATTCAGCTCTTTGTTTAATGATTTGTTTGTTTAGTGCTGTTGTAACCACTCAAGGACCATTTTTCACACTTATGACGATTGCGGCATCCCTATGGTCATGTGATCAAATTTTAGCCGCTTGGCAACTGGTTCAAATTTATGACGGTTGCTGTATCCCAGAGATATTCTGACGAGCAAATTCAATGGGGAAAGCTGGATTCACTTACACCATGTTACTAATTTAATAATTGCAGTGATTCACTTAACAACTCTGGCAAGAAAGGTCGTAAAGAGGGGCAAAATTCACCTAGGAACTCTTGCTTAGCAGCAGAAATTTTGGGCTCAGTTATGGCCATAGATTATGAGTTATGACCATAATGCAGCCTGCCCATCAGTTATATCGTGTGATGGTAGTCCATTAGGTTACCCACATGACAAATGCAATTTTATGACTTTTTGTGATGGTCATTAAGTGCAGGCTATGGTTGTTAAATGAAGTGGTGGTTTGCTATGGGCCTAGCTTCGCTGAAAACCAGAAGTAAATGCCGCTTTTCCGCAAAGCGGTCATAAAACACAGGTGACTGTGGGATCCTAACCCATATGAAGTAACCATGGAATGGGAGGGGGGCTGGAACGCTGCATCTAGATTGTAAATACCCTTAGATAGTTCCGCCATAACTCTGAACGGTTGCTAAATGACTGTAAGCTGAAGACTACCTCTATATCAGTGGTTGGTTGCCGCCGCTTCGGACCGGTTCGCAAGAACCGGTAGTAAAACCAGCGGGAGGCTCTGCCCACTGATCCGGACGTCATCATAGGTGATCTCCGCATGCGCGCGGGCGCGATGCGAATCGGTAGTAAAGGTAAGTAGAACCCACCCCTGCTATATACTAATAGGAAAAGGAGTGTCCTAGAAACCACTTTTCATAAGCAAGAGGTGTAATTAATAAATGACCAGGTATCTTTATGTCCTTCTAATATTGTTTTCTTCTTCTTTTTCATGTTTTTTCCCTGTTCCTATTCTGCAGTCACGAAAGAGGCCAGCGCAGAAAGTAAGAGATTCACCGAATGTTGCACATTCTGCCTATCTTCTTACCTTTCCTGTTTTTCCGCTGGCTAATTGAACTCTGCCCTCCCCTCTTCAAATCCCGATTTGCTTCCGTTTCTAACAGTCGTGGTTTAATGATCATAACGTCTTTCTATGGAAATCCTTGATTCTGTGACCTTTTTCAAAATGGGGTTATCTGTTCTTGGCCTTCCAGGTTGAAGTGGCAAGTTGCATGGGCTTCCACGTGTTACCTTTTCAGCCATAGAAACCGGAAGGCACTGTTAAAAATAAAGATCAGAGATTTCCTAGATGATCTTTCTTACTAACTTCCCCTGGAACAGAAGCGTGCTCCTAATTTATCCCATGGCTGTACTTGGCAGCCAGCAATGAACGAAACAATACCATGAATTCTAGAACGAGATTTCCCCCCTTCTCCCCACTCATGAAAATGTCATCTGTCTGCAGTGTTGTGTGGGGTGCCTGCCCTGGGACGGATCGTGGGCGGTTCTAATGCTCAAAATGGACAGTGGCCATGGCAGGCCAACCTGAACTTCAATGGTCATCATGCCTGTGGGGCAACCCTCATTGCCCCCCAGTGGTTGGTTTCAGCTGCACATTGCTTCCCAAAGTAAGTCAATTATCCTTCAAAGTTTGGTCTAGTGGTGAAGGAACCAGGCTAGAAACCAGAAGACTGTGAGTTCTAGTCCTGCCTTAGGCATGAAAGCTGGCTGGGTGACTTTGGGTGGATCGCTAGGAGACTGTGAGTTCTAGTCCTGCCTTAGGCATGAAAGCTGACTGGGTGACTTTGGGTGAATCTCTAGGAGACTGAGTTCTAGTCCTGCTTTAGGCATGAAGCTGGCTGGGTGACTTTGGGTGAATCTCTAGGAGACTGTGAGTTCTAGTCCTGCCTTAGGCATGAAAGCTGACTGGGTGACTTTGGGTGAATCTCTAGGAGACTGAGTTCTAGTCCTGCTTTAGGCATGAAAGCTGGCTGGGTGACTTTGGTGAATCTCTAGGAGACTGTGAGTTCTAGTCCTGCCTTAGGCATGAAAGCTGACTGGGTGACTTTGGGTGGATCGCTAGGAGACTGTGAGTTCTAGTCCTGCCTTAGGCATGAAAGGCCTGGCTGGGTGACTTTGGGTGAATCTTAGGAGACTGAGTTCTAGTCCTGCTTTAGGCATGAAAGCTGGCTGGGTGACTTTGGGTGAATCTTTAGGAGACTGTGAGTTCTAGTCCTGCCTTAGGCATGAAAGCTGACTGGGTGACTTTGGGTGGATCGCTAGGAGACTGTGAGTTCTAGTCCTGCCTTAGGCATGAAAGGCACCTGGCTGGGTGACTTTGGGTGAATCTCTAGGAGACTGTGAGTTCTAGTCCTGCCTTAGGCATGAAAGGCACCTGGCTGGGTGACTTTGGGTGAATCTCTAGGAGACTGTGAGTTCTAGTCCTGCCTTAGGCATATAAGCTGGCTGGGTGACTTTGAACCAATCTTTAGGTGTGTGAGTTCTAGTTCCACCTTAGTTTTGAAGCTGACTGGGTGACTTTGGGCCAATCATTCTCTCTCAGCCTAACCCACCTCAAAGCATAGTTGGGAGCAAAGTAGTACAATAGTAGGAAAGCACAGGTAGTCCTCCACTTACAACAGTTCGTTTAGTGACCATTCAAAATTTACAACAGCACTGTAAGGAGTGATTTGTGACCATTTTTCACATTTATGACTGTTGCAGCATCCCCACGGTCACATGATTAAAATTCAGGTGCTTGGAAATTGGTTCGTATTTATGATTGTTTCTGGGTCCCACGGTCATGTGGTCGCTTTTTGCATCCTTTCTGACAAGCAAAGTCAAGGGGGGAAAGCCAGATTCACTTAACAACCGGGTTACTAAGTCAACAACTGCAGGGATTTCACGTAACAAGAAAAGTCGTAGCATGGGGCAAAACTCACTCAACCTACACCTCACTTAGCAACATAAATCTGGGTCTCAGTTGTGGTCGTAAGTAGAGGACTACCTGTATGTTCACCATCTTGAGCTATTTGTAAAAATAATAAAGCTGGGATTAAAAAAAAATCTAAAAAAAGATGTGGGTATTAAGAAACAGACCCTCATGCTGTTAGCTTCCTTATAGAGAAAGTTTCAAGGCTGCTGGATTCGGTATTCCAAACCTTGATAATAAATGGATGTGGCATTGTGGAGTTTGTAGAATGCAATCAGTAGGAGAATTCAATTCTCTCATTACAGTGTGTGACAGCTTGGTCATCACCACTGCTGCTGTTAACCATTGAGAGTTTCCAAACTCTTTGCATGTACAGATTAATTCTTGAGTTATTTTTATTTATTTATTTATTAGTAAATTTATATCCTGCCCTTCTCCCCGAAGGGACTCAGGGCGGTGAACAGCCGAGAATTAAAATAACATACAATATAAAAGTTAAAATAATTAAAAATAAATTAAATTAAACGGCCGCTCCAATTTAAAACCCCTAGCAATACAATTAAAAAACCCCTAAAACCTATTCAGGCCAGGCCGGCTTGCTGAAATAAAAACGTCTTCAGGGCCTTACGGAAAGTGCGGAGATCCGGAATCAGCCATATTCCGGGAGGTAGCTCGTTCCAGAGGGCGGGTGCTCCCACAGAGAAGGCTCTCCCCCTGGGGGCCGCCAGCCGACATTGCTTGACCGACGACACCCTGAGGAGGCCCTCTCTGTGAGAGCATATTGGCCGGTGGGAGGTTATCGGTAGCAGCAGGCGGTCTCGTAAATACCCTGGCCCTAAGCCATGGAGCGCTTTAAAGGTGAGAACCAACACCTTGAAGCGCACCTGGAAGACCACCGGGAGCCAGTGCAGCTCGCGCAGGAGAGGGGTTATTTGGGAGTGCCATGTCGCTCCCGTGATCACCCGTGCGGCCGCATTCTGGACCAGTTGAAGCCTCCGGGTGCTCCTCAAGGGGAGCCCCATGTAGAGAGCGTTAGCGTAGTCCAGGCGAGAAGTGACGAGAGCATGAGTAACTGTGCATAAGGAATCCCGACTCAGAAAGGGGCGCAACTGGCGTTATCAGGTGAACCTGATAAAAAGCCCCCCTGGCCACGGCCGTCATATGCTCTTCTAAAGACAGACGTGTGTCCAGGAGGACGCCCAAGTTGCGAGCCCCCTCTGTGGGGGTCAATGACTCGCCCCCAATAGCCAGCGATGGCACCAGCTGGCTATATCGGGATGCCGGCATCCACAGCCACTCGGTCTTGGAAGGGTTGAGTCGAAGCCTGTTCCTCCCCATCCAGCGGAGCCATAAAATTTCTATTACTAAGTGAGACATTTCTTAAATGATTTTTGACCCCTTTTATGATCTTTCTTGCTGGAACTCTTAAGGGAATCACTGCCATTGTTAAGTTAGCTCACAAGGTTATTAAGTGAATCTGGCTTCCTCGTTGACTTTGCTTGGCAGAAGGTTGCAAAACGGGATCACATGACCTTGGGACACTGCAACCGTCATAAATATGAACCAGTTGCCAAGCATCCGAATTCTGATCATGCGACGAATGGGGAAGCTGCAATGGTCGTTAAGGGCGAAAAACGGTCACAAGTCGCTTTTTTCAGTGCCGTTGTAACTTTAAACGGTCACTTAGTAAACAGTTGTAAGTCAAGGACAACCTGTACAGTTCGGTGTATGGCTGTGTGTTATACTAGCTTAATGCTGGCTGACGGTTAAGAAGTAGGATATATTTAAGCATTGGGTGTGGGGGAAAACTCAGGTGGATTATTATTGTCTTCTTGCCATGCTTGGGTACTTGGGAATCTGTTTGGTCCTCACTGGGAAGAGAAGAGTGGGTCTGGATGCGTTTGGGATGATCTTACAAATTTAGAATCTCAGAAATGACGTAACCACCTTCCTCTCTACAGGGTGAATGACATCTCGTTGTATGAAGTGACCCTGGGGTCCTACCAGCTGAAAAACCCCTCGCCAGACATCCAAGTGACGCAAATAGACCAAGTGATTAAGCATCCTGATTTCAATGAAGACGAAGGCTCTCAAGGAGACATTGCCCTGGTGAAACTCAAAGTCTCAGTTCCGTATTCTCGGACCGTACGGCCAATCTGCCTGCCTGCCTCTTCGGTCAACTTCCCGCAAGGCATGACGTGCACCGTCACGGGCTGGGGGAATGTCCATGAATCTAGTAAGGACAAAAGATTTTCATCTGGAGATTTCATCTAGGGCTCTCATCCCTATTCTTAGCAGCCTCGGATGGTGGTGGTATTATAAATCCCAGAATTTCTCATCAGCTGGCTGGATAAATGTGGCACTTATGGCTTCAGTTGTACCCGAAGGATGGCATGCTTTTTTTTTTATTATTATTTTCTGATTTAAAGTATGCAAGGATGCTGATATACCTGAAATGGTGAACCATTTCTGTACAGGTAGTCCACAACAGCTCATTCAGTGACTGTTCAAAGTTAACAACGGCATTCAAAAAAAGTGACTTATGACCTTTTTCACATTTATGACCTTTGCAGGAGCCCCCCCATGATCATGTGATCAAAATTCAGATGCTTGGCAGCTGGTCCATGCTTATGAGCGTTGCTGTGTACCAAGATCATGTGATCACCTTTTGATGAGCAAAATTAATGGGGAAGCCAGGTTGATTTAACAACTGTGGTACTAATTTACCAACTGCAATTATTCACTTAACAAGTGTGCAGTGATGAAATCCTCCGTGGGTTGCCACCGGTTCGCTGCCCGGCCATATGCGGTGCACGGCAAACGCATGCTGCGTGCACGCATGCACAGTGCGCGCCAAACGTACTGCACGTACATGCGCAGTACATGCCAAACTCATGCTTCATGCGGAAAAAGGAGCCTTTTGAAGGTAAGTAGAACAGCAAGGGGGGGAACAGCTTTGCCGCACGATTTAGATTTAGCAAATATAAATCATGCAGCACAGCTGATCATCGGAAATACTGGTTCACACGAACCGGTAGGGTTTTATTTACTACCGGTTCGCCCGAACCGGTGCGAACCGGTAGCTTTTCACCCCTGCAACTGTGGCAAGAAAGGTCATAAAAGAGGGCAAAACTCATTTAACAAATTGCTCACTTAGCAATAGAAAGTTTGGGGCTCCATTGTGGTCATAGGTCAAGAACTATCTATATTTCTAAGGCATCAATTTTTTAAAAATCAAAAACGAGCTTGCAAGGGTATAAATATCTAAACGAAAACAAAGAGAAAACATTCCATAGTAATAATAACCATTGACAATCCATGAACTTTTTGGGTTATTGTTTGAGAGATGTTAATTGAGAAACAGAAGGACCATAGAAAGGCAGAAAAAAAGTGGGAACAAAGTCTGACTTCCTGCTGGCTTCCCCATTGATTTGTGGGAAGCCAGCAGGAAGCATTGGAAATGGCAATCATGTGACCATGTCTGATGGTGGCGGCACTGAAGCAGCCACAACTTTGTCAAATCTCAATCCCATAGGAATAATAGGTCCTGGATTTGGACGCATTCTTTAAATTAGCTCATTTGAGGTAGGTTGATTCAAAAATTGTTGCCCTATGATGCACTGCTTTGTCCAATTAAAGGTTACAAACAGACGAACAGGAGAGTTTTAATAACAACAGAGTAGCAGTTGGAAAACCTCTAGGGAAGTCAAGGTTTTGAGGAACTGTAAACGGCCCTGGTTGCCAGAAATTATAGTGCCATCTCCTAGACCAGGGGTCCTCAAAGTACGGCCCAAGGGCCGAATATGGCCCGTTGAAGCCATTAACCAGCCCACGAGGCTGTCCTACCCACATTGCCCCGCCTAATCGCTGGCCCCCACCTGCCTTCTGGAGGCCCCAGGAGGCCAAAAACAGACCCGTTTTTGGCCTCCCAGCTTCCAGAGAGGGAGGGAGGGAGGGACACACACACACACACACACACACACACACACACACACACACACACAGAAGTCCCCCACCCCCCTACCCCAAGGCAGCCACATCCCTTCCCTAACCTGTTTTCTACCCCCAGGAGCATAACAAATTAAAATTTAATTTGTGTGTATTGTTTAATGGACTGCTAAATTGGCCACAGCCACCCAATCACATGACCACCTAGCCACACCCATCCAGCAAATCCACCCTCCAACAGTCTGAGGGACCATGAATTGGCCCCCTATTTAAAAAGTTGTCCTAGACAATAGTTTGAAACCATTAATGGGAAAATGCAGAAGAATGTAAGCTGACATTCAGAATGGTTGAATGCTTCCTTTACAAGAAAAAAACCGGTTTGGGATGGTTTAGCTTGGAAAAACATTGATTGATCAATGTTGGCACTATAATTTCTGGTAACCAGGGCTGATCAAGGTATATAAAGCCATGCACGGACGGTATGGAGCATGTGACCAGAGATTATGGAGATTTTCTCCTCCTTCTTCTCTGAAAAGAGTTTGGATCAGGGAGAACCTAATGAAGCTGTGAAGAGATCTAGAATAGACAAAAGGAAGCATTTACAACTGCACATAATTGATCTGTGGAGTTCATTACCACAAAAATGGGGATGGCTACTGACTTTATGGGCCCTGGACACATTCATGAAGAATTGCTCCATCCAGAACTAGTGGTCTTGAAGACTTAATGTTATTTCTGGGTTGGGGACAGGGGGTCTACAAAGGGTAGCTGTGAGGTAATGACAGTAGGAGTAGAGTATGGCTCTGTGAGCATTCATTCCAGAGACATCTGGTTGGGGGAGAGAAAGTGCTGGGCGAAGAAACATGTTGGACTGATCCAGGAGGAGAACCTATTTTGGTTACCTGAGGTTGGTCAACAGTTGTAGAGGAGACCGCTTGGCTTCCAGGAAGTTCTGAAGAATCTAGCATTTCTTAGTTTGGGTTCCACATCCAAAGAAAGACTATCCCAACACTTAAAAATAAGATCCTTCAGGATGTCTTGCCTCCACACTGACTCTGTACCATCTCCTTCCCTGTAGCGAGCCTCCCTTCGCCCATGACGCTACAACAACTTGAAGTGCCCATCATTGGCCTGGACACCTGCAGGTGCCTGTACAGAAGGAACCCAGATCCCGAGGAGTCCCACATCCTCCACCGTGACATGATGTGTGCTGGCTTTGTAGAAGGCAAGAAGGATGCCTGTCAGGTGAGGCCACCGGGAGGAGGTTAGAGGTGCCATTAATTGGCCAAGTGCAGTGGTAGTGATGGTGGTAGGACACAAGGCCCTAAAAACCATCCTCTGAAGGAGTTCTCAGGCATTTTATGAGGATTGCACAAGAAAGCATCCCTTTATTAGAGGAGGCTAATAAACAGTTGGGTGCTTGTGCTCTAAAGCAGTGTTTCTTAACTTTAACAACTTTAAGATGGGTGTACTTCAACTCCCAGAATTCCCCAGCTAGCCAGACTGGCTGGGGAATTCTGGGAGTTGAAGTCCACCCATCTTAAAGTTACCAGATTTGAAAATCACTGTTATAACCTCTCTCCAATTCTGACTCCTCTTCATATTATCTGAATCAGTATGCTAACGGATTCTCAACTTCTTTTCCTTTGCAAACCCCCCCTCCCACCTCAAAAAAAATTTAAAAAATGACCCCGTTAAATGTCTTTAATTCCTTTTGTTGTTGTTTTTTAGGGTGATTCCGGAGGCCCCCTTTCCTGTCTCGTGGATGGCGCCTGGTTGCTGGCTGGCGTCGTGAGCTGGGGATCCAGCTGTGGGGCTGCCAACAGACCTGGTGTTTACATCCGCCTTCCTTTCTATGCCGACTGGATTAAGGAAAAAGTTCCAGAAGTACAGCTTCAGCAAGTGACAGTCCCTACAAATACGGCCCCGGAAGAGGTCTTGTGTTCCAATTCTACAGGAGGGGGAGGCCCCTATGATGACATTCAACCCTCACCAGGCTGGAACAGGCCCCTCAGCCCAGGCAAGAACCAACCCAACAGTTCTGTTTCCCTAGCCTGCTGGGTTGGTCTACCACTTCTTCTCCTCCTCCTCCAGACCTGCTTGTGGTAACTTTCCACTCCCATCCCAAGTTGTGCAGGGAAAACATGGTTGTCTTCCTGTTTTTATCCTACTGGCGATGCTCTCCCTACTTCATAGCCTGCTGTGCTTCAAGCTTTCTCTTTGCATGCTGGGTGCAGAAAAGGCAGTGTGATTTGATTGGGACGTGGTACTGTACCTCCGAAGCCCAAACTGCCTCTCAGGTGGTCATCGAATGTATATTTTGTAAATCCACCTGCGGTCTTGGCCTAGCATACGGCTTTTTTAAAAGTTCACTACTTCTCTCCTATTCCTGGCTTTTACTCAGAGGATCTAATTCATAATTTTCCAAGTGTGTTTATTTTTTGCCCCTTTCCCATTTCCCTACAACTTGCTTAGCCTTTTTTAAAAAATCATAGTCGGATACAAATCTGTAATAAACCTGTTTTTGGGTTTTTTTTTTTGCTGTGGACATAATTTCATAAATCAGTGGGCGCCTAGTCTCCTTTTTAGGCAAATTCCTGAACTGCCTTTGGATATGACTAATCTGTTGAGTAGTTGGCACCCTTCTCCGATTGCATTCCTCACATACGTTTTGAAACGTGATCAGTTTCAAGACAGCTTCCTCTCTGTCCATGTCTTCCTTTCCTGCTCATAATGTGAATTCTCTTGTAGCCTTCCTAGCAGCTGCTGCGAAGACACGGTCCTCCACAATAGTTGGACGTTATTCAAGGACCAAAATTGAGCCCTTTGAAGAGAATCGGTCAGCTGAATCCTTTTCTTCCTTAGGATTTAATTGAGATCGCCGTCTGATGTCTTGCCCAAGTGAGAGCAGCATAATGTACCCTAACGTAATTTCTCCCTCTTAAAGATCATTGCCTTGTCAAGTAGACAATGCCATTAGTTAACTTGGATGATGGGAGGATTTTTACAGGGTTAGCAGTTCTACTGTCTTACGTTATCATGGTTTCTGCTTATGTGAAACAGGTCAAGAATGTTGTTAGTAAGTACAATGCAACCACCGAGTGAAAAAGGGATATATTCTATAGGACCACTTCCACCCATGTTTGATTTACTTGACCCTCTTCTGGGCTCCCTATGTGACTTGGTATTTACCCACCCCTCTTCCTGGTTCACAGACTGAATAACAGGAGGCTTAGCAGAGGTGCTGGGACTTTTGAAACCAACTTGTTGCCTTTTGATCGTTGGCTGGGGTGGGGGGGATTAGGCCCACTTCTCTGTTCTGCTAGCCTTGCAGTTTTGCCCGATTTAAACCAGAATTGTGCAGGGGTGGAAATGCAGCCTCTGGATGTTTAATTTATGAATCTCTCTAAGGTGGGATGAGGGCAGAGATTGTGGGATGTTCTTATGTGTGTGGATACCTCAGGTCAGAGATACTATCAGCCTGACAGGTTTATGGAGCAGCACGGACCCTGATGTCAAGGCGATGAAGGGGACCACTTGTTTCCAAGTATGCTTGGACAGAAATAACTGCCAGCACGGATGCAGAATTAAAAGGAGCGGGACTGCTGATCGAAATTCAGTGATCGAAATTGCCCTCTTTGGGGGGAAAAGAGGATTGCGACTTTAGATAATTTATGTTTGCACACACTGAAAAAAAAAAGACTAATGTACGGATCATCTTTTAAGGAAGGATTGAAATCAGTTGCTGTTTTTGAAATGAAGGGTTTTAAATAAACAGTAATTCTACACTAATATGGCTTTTATTTATTACCAAAGGGAAGCTTTGTGGACTTTAATCTCCCAAGAAACATTAAGGTGGGAACTAGGGAAACTTTTAACAGACTGCGAAGCAGTTGCTTATGAGCATTAACATCTACAGGTAGAGTTCTCCAAAAGGCATGCAGGAAGTAGATGCCAAACTACCAGGATCTGCATTGCCTGCAGCCGAGCATAATGACTCATGCAATTGATCTTGTCACATGAGCTGTGGCATGAATACTTGGCATGAGTTGGTCAAGAGTCTGGGATTATGATAGGTGTGCAATTCTTAATACCAAACTGTCACCAGACCCAAGTGGATCAAGAAAAACAACTCAGTCATATTTGGCAAGTGAGGTTCACCGAGGTTGAGTGTTAAAACAACATCTTGGCGTACTGTTGTTAGTCAAACCTTGTGAAAATGAGGAAGAGGTGCATTAGTAAACCCCTTCACAAGAAGGGTTACAAGTGTGAACTACCTGTTATGAAAAGGACATGGTTTCTGTGACTAAGCATATTGGTACAAATTGGTCTTCATTTCCTGCTATAGGTTTGTTCCTCCTCAGAAGGATCTTTTCTCTCGTTTTCCTTTCCCAGGGCTGTTCCTTGTCGTTGGCAGTTTTTACTGTGCCACCATTAAGGATCAGTTGTAATTCTTGTAAATGAGTCATAAAAATGGCACAGCGCTTGTGTTATTTTTTTTATTAAAATATTTCTTAAGCAGAACACACTATATATATGGTATACACAATAACTACAGCAACTATGGTGAATAGATGTTTCTACCCAAGACATCCACAAGCTTCAGGGTCCTCCCAAAATCACGGTCCCCAGGACTGAAGGTATAATAGGACCTCAGTGGAAACCGGTGTTATAAAGAGCGGCAAGTTTTTCTTCTTCTGTTCACTTGATCGCTTCAAGAGACTTTTGATCTTTTGGAAAAGTCTCTTCTCATTTGATCACCAATAAACATGGTTCATAAGATAAGATGGGAGGAATGTAGAGCAATCCTACAATATCCTTCTAGACAGTTTTCTCCAACCCAGAGTTCATCCATTCATCTGGGTAAAGGCTGCCGTTTAGAAGGGCATCTAACTTAAAAGTACACTTTTCCCTACTCTCGTTCAGCTTTTTGTTCCTAGAGAGAACTATTTCCTTTGAAGATCTGCAAAAGGAATTGGTTAATTCCTTTTAGCTACATCATAGAAGCCACACTGCACTACGGAACAGCCTTTTTATATGTGCCTAATTCCACTTTTCCTTTCCCCCCGGGTCTTAACACCCAAATCAGTGGTGGGATTCAACCAGTTGCCACCACTTCGGGAGAACCGATTATTAACTTTCTGAGCAGTTTGGAAAAGTGGTTGTTGGAAGAAATCATTAGGGCAGAGAACCAGTTGTTAAATTACCTGAATCCCACCACTGACCCAAATCCTGACTCTCATGCTACTGGCTAACTTATTTTTTTGGCAGCACTGATCTTAAAAATTGATTGTGGAGCCAGTGATACTGTTTCAAAACATTCTCTCTCTCTTGTCCCACATTGCTAATAGCTATGTGACAGTGGAAGAAGGATTCAAGCTATTTATCTAGTATACGTAAAAACATGTGAGCTTTGATAGACTTGCCTCCTTTTGAAGATACTGAGAGTGACAACAGATCTACCAAGAGAGACTTAGAGAATTACAGAAGACACATTTTTTCCCCAAAATTTTGAACAAGGCTGATTGTTCAACGTTTCAATAAGTTGGAGATCTCCAGCTTCTCTTTTGGAGAAGTCAATCCTCCTTCCTAGGATAGTCAATAATCTAGTTTTCACTATTACTGATAGTAAATGTTGCCTCCAACTTTCGTTGACCATACGCTGCTTAAATATCCAATCCCTGTGTTTATTTACTGCTCATATCCTGTTCTATCACAATTCTGCCAATACTTAATCACCTGTTTGATTCCAGGACTAGTAATATCCCAAAGTCAGTTAGAATGGTCAATAAGAAATAACAGAATGATTTATCTGCTCCTTTTATGATAAGAATGAGGATACCAGTTCTATTTTAGAGAAGACATCAGGTTTGGCAAGAAAGAAAGAAAAACGGTTCTATATTGAGCAACATAGGGAAAAAAAAGAGGATAAATAAGTAGCTCTTCATTCAAATGAACTAACCTGGGCAGAATTGCTGCAAACTCAAAAAATCACCTGTTTTCAGGTATTTCTCATAACCCCAAACCAACTGTTCCATGTATGTACCCTTTCTGTACAAGACTGGCAGCAATGCTAAATTACTGGACATCTTCTAAAATAAAAAAGCAGATGTAGAGCCAAACCCTTTCAGTTTTTCAAGTCAGTTTTTCCTTCACTTCTTGGAAATCTTGGCTTGCTTGTGTTTAGGAGGTGCCCATCTCAGGCAGAGAGAATCCACTGGAGAAAGGGGGAAAAAAAAAAAGAAGTAAGAAAATTTAGGTCTGAACATGTAAGTGGAAAAGGGCAGCGCAGTCAGACAAAGTCTATCACTATCTCAAATATAATGGGGGCATGGATGTCTGTGCCTCAACTGAGAATGCTGATGAGAATTCAACAGGTTAGCCAAACTGAGTACTAGAGAAAGTGCAACAGATACCAACCACCCTGAATAAAATTATGCCTTGGGCTGATAACGGCAAACACAAATGCAGGCTTCACTTAACAACCATTCAGTGACTGTCTGAAGTTACAGCAGCATTAAAAAAAATTGACCTATGACCGTTTTTCACACTTACGACCGTTGCAGCATCCCTATGGTCGTATGAACAAAATTTGGATGCTTGGCAGCTGGCTCATATTTATGACGGTTGCAATGTCCTGGGGATAGGGGATCCCCTTTTGCAACTTTCTGACAAGCCAAGTCAACGGGAAGACAGATTCACTTAACAACCGCTTTACTAACTTAACAACTGCAGTGATTCATTTAACAGCTGTGGCAAGAAAGGCTGTAAAATGAAGCTGAAGTCACTTAACTGTCTTGCTTAGCAGTAGAAATTTTGGGCTCAACTGTGGTCATAACTTGAGGATTATTTGCAAGTGCCATGGCAGATTCATTTTAGATTTAAGAAGCCCTGGTGGTCATTCAGGCCACAATACAAGCGTTTATGCCTTGTTTGTACCAGCTTCAAAGACCTTCTACCCCGCCCAGCAGGCAGCTCCTGACCCAGCCCTCTTTTGAAAAGGGAAGAGATCTGGGAGAGGGTCCAAATAATCTCCCCGAAGCTCCTGTTACATAAATGACATATTTACGTAACAGGAGCAACGTCATTCGCTCCCTGGGGGGAAAATAACAATGCCTCTTTCAAAAATCTGCAACATCTAATTTCTTTCAGATGACTCTTAATAGATACCAGGCACGGTTGCCAATAAATTCAAAGCAAGTTGCCTGGCTCAATTGAGGAAACGGCTTTATAGTGCAGTGAGGAGTCATTTAAATGTTTATACTCATAATATACAAATATTTCAGTTTCTTTGCATTTTATGTTCTACCGCTGCGTGTGATGAAAAACAGGAAAGATCCGGTGTGCACAAACTGAAATGGTATAAAGTGAGCCAAGGTTAGATAAACATCCAGCTATGACTGGAAACTCAAACAAGAAACTGCATACATTGAGTACACATCATGTGCTGAATGATTTATGTCCCACCAAATAATCAAAAAGTAATATTTTTTTCTTAGCTACTGTGTTTGTCCTTGGGTGTTCTGACATAAAGCTCTGGACTGCCATCTGTCAGAAATGGTGTAAGGTCTCCTGCTTGGGTGGAGGGGAGGTTGGACTAGATGACCTACAAGGTCCCTTCCAACTCTGTTAATGAAAGGGGCAAGTGGAAACTGGCAACACTTTCTGCCTAAAACAATATCACCCTATGAACATCCATCACACGAAACATGTTTCAAATAAAAGGTTAGCCTTTTCTCAGCGTCTCTTCTCCATTCCGATACGGTAACCTGAATAAATAATCCTCCCTGGCTATCTTATGGGGGTTAAATATTAACTGCCCAGGCTGGTGCAAGGGAAATGAAATCAATTGCTTAGGAGACTTAACAGTTTGAAGTCCATTCCTCGGAAGGAATCCCAAGAATGTCAGTTTAGTTGGGATTAAGGGGCACGGCAAAGACTGGAAAGCAGTTCCATGAATCAGGAAAACTAAAAGGACAGGACGAGTTTAGGAGCAAACAGCCTTCAAGGTAGGCAATGGCCTGAGGAGAGTTCTCCATAAGCATGGAGGTGAAAAATAGAACACAGGGTAATAAAAAATTGGAAGGCATCTTGGAGGTCTTCTAGTCCAACCCCCTGCTCAAACAGGAGACGCTATACAATTTCAAACAAATGGCTGTCCAATCTCTTCTTAAAAGCCTCCAGTGATGGAGCACCCACAATTTTTGAAGGAAAGCTGTTCCACTGGTTGATTGTTCTCACTGACAGGAAATTCCTCCTTATTTCTAGGTTGGATCTCTCCTTGGTTAGTTTTCTGTCCTACTTTCAGGTCCTTTGGAAAATAGGTTGACTCCCCTGTTCTTTGTGGCAGCGCCTCCAGTATTGGAACCCTGCTATCATGCCACCCCTTGGCCTTTCTTTTTACTAGACTAGACATACCAAATTCCTGCAACCATTCTTCATACGTTGCTTAAGAATGCTGTTTGAGGAAAAACTGGGAAACTGAACTCATTGCAGGCAGTCCTCAATTTACAACCACAATTGATACCAGAAGTACTGCTGCTAAGCAATGCAGACATTAAGTGAGTTGTGCCCACTTTTATGACCTTTCTATCATAGCCATTAAGCAAATCACATGGACTTTAAGCAAATCCAGCTTCCTCCATTGGCGGAAGCTTTTGGAAGTCCCCAAGGAAAGTCACAAATGGCAAATGGAAAGGTTGTAACTGTGAAAAATAGTCATAAGCCACATTTTTCAATGCCACTGTAACTTTGAATGATCTCTAAACGAACTGTTGTAAGTCGAGGACTACCTGCATCTGTTTCAGAGAGAAAAACACCCCAGATGTATCCTCACCCACGCAAGAAAGCTAAAAGACAGGAAGCAACATGCATGAGAATGGTAAAAACTGGGAATTTAAAGAAGCAACAGGTGGCATTAAAAAAAGAAGTAAGATGGAGACAATGCAGTTATTGTAAGAACTGGATAGACTACTTAGAAACCGCTTCTGGATTTTGTGCTTCAGATGGAAAAAAAATAAAACTTTGATTTTGGGTTTTACCGATTAGATAGATTTGTTGTTATAGAAATGGCTAGTTTATACTATTATGTAAAAGTAAAAAGTTGAGGTTTGATGTTAATGCCTTGTTCTATTGCACCAAAGGAAGTAGGAAGTCAGTATCTTTTCCCACCCCTTGCTTTCCCCCCACTCTTCTCTTCCCTAATTTCCCTACTATTTACTTTTGTACTTTCTTTGTACGCTGTATTATAAAATAATAAAATTGTTTAAACCGGAACTGCATAGACAAAAAAGGTTGTGGGAGTGGAGGGTTGAAGGCCAAGAAGCTAAATCTAGCAAGGAGATTATTTCAGTTCTGCTGTCACTGCAGATCTGGAAACTGTACATGGGGGGGGGGGGAGCAGGGAGGGAGGGAGAGGGAGGGGGAAAAGAAAGACAAAGAGAAGATGCACCACATTGAATATCCTATACAGATTTATAAATTGCAAGTCAGACTTTGACCCAAAAGTGGGATGAACCACTACTGCATCCCGCTCCCACCACTTCCCCATTGGTCGGTACCTGTGATTGGCGGCTTCTTATACTGAGCACTTTTGAGATGCTCCTCCACCAACTTGGGAGTGACGCAGATGACGTGCTGCCCCTTCCAATACTTAACCATGTTCAGGGACTGCAAGGTGCTGATGATGTCGTTCTGCGTGATGCTCGTCATCTGGCTGGCGAGGGAAACAACAAGGTGCGCGTCAGACGGACAAGGACCAGATAAGAGGAGGACAGGAGTCCCAGTAAATAGGCTGTCAGGGTTCCAAGTAATACACCCATAACAATCAGAACTCCGAGGCAGGTAAATTCTTCAAAGAACAGTTTTATTGGGTATATCATATAAGCACAGGCTGGTGAAAACCGACTCTAAAAGTTCCTGTGGTTTTCAACTAAATAAAAGTAAAGGTTTTCCCCTTTTCCCAAACAGTCACATGGTCCAATCAGGGTGCTTTCCAGTTGCTTGGTAACATCGCTCCTCCTCCTCTCTTCAGCCAGCTGTTGGAATGTCCTTGGTTCCCAGCGGAAAGTGTTTTGTTTTGGCTATAAACCTCCAGCTATCTCTAATTCTCACTCCCTAACCCTCATCTCTGTTGTGGTAACACTGAAGCCACTGAAGTCAGGCCAACTTCAGAGGTTGACATAGGTCTTATTATGTTCAGTCAAAGCTACTCCACGGTCAAATACTACAGAAGGGCACACAGTCCTCTCTCAACACCCATATCCCTTGCTACAGGTTATCCTTAACTTACGGCCAGAATTTCCAATGCTAAACAAGGCAGTGGTTAAGTGAGTCATGCCCAATTTTATGATTTTTATCATTGTTCTTAAGTGAATGGCTGTGTTGTTAAGTGAATCCTGCAGTCATTAAGCAAATCTGGCTTCCCCTCATTGACTTTGGTGGAAACTAACAACTATTGGCTCCCAAATATTGATCATATGACCCCAGGACTCTGCAACCATCATAAATACATGCCAGTAGTCAAGTGCCTGGATTTTGATCATGTGACTGTGGGGAGGCTATGACCCTCATAAGTGCAAGGACCTCCTATAAGTCACTTTTTCAGTGCCACTGTAACTTTGAATGGTCACTAAACAAATAGAAATAGCATTTTAGACTTACATACTGCTTCACAGTGCTTTACAGCCTCTCTAAGCAGTTTAGCATACTTCCCCCAACAATCTGGGTCCTCATTTTACCCACCTTGGAAAGGATGGAAAGCTGAGTCAACCTTGAACCAGGGGTAAAATTCAGCAGGTCTGACGGGTTCTGGAGAACCAGTAGCGGAAATTTTGAGTAGTTTGGAAAACTGGCAAATACCACCTCTGGCTGACCTCAGAGTGAGCAGGGAATGGGGATTTTGCAGTATCCTTCCTCTGCCACACCCACAAAGTAACGCCCACCAATCCACACCATGCCCACCAAGCAACTCCCGCAGAACCGGTAGTAAAAAAATTTGAATTCCACCACTGCCTTGAACCCCTTTAGGATCTAACACCTGTTGTGGGCAGTTAGCCTGCAATACAGGTAGTCCTCAACTTACAACAGTTCATTTAGTGACCATTCAAAATTACAACGGCACTGAAAAAAGCGACTTATGAACCATTTTTCACCCTTATGACGATCGCAACATCCCCATGGTCACAAGGTTTACATCCAGACGCTTGGCAAATGACTCACATTTATGACGGTTGCAGTGTCATGTGATCTCCTTTTACGACCTTCTGACAAGCAAAGTCAACAGAGAAGCCGGATTCACTTAATAACCATGTGACTAGTTTAAAAACTGCAGTGACTCACTTAACAAATGAGGTGGGAAAAGTTGTAAAATGGGAGCAAAATTCAGTTAACAAGTTTCTCACTTAACAACATACATTTTGGGCTCAGTTGTGGTCATAAGTTGAGGACTGCATTGTAACCACTGTGGCACTAGGGAATTTATTTATATTTTACAAATAGTTCAAAATTGAGGAAAATGCTTGTAGGACTAGTAGCCAAACCTCTACTCACCTGAGATCCTTGATGGAAAGAGTGCCTCGGAAATCCCGAAGGATCTCTAGTAATACCCATGACCAATAGCTACGGTAGCTCAGCTTGCCGAGGTCCGAAAGGGGCTTTTCAGGGGATCCCACTGTACTTTCAAGTTTGGAAAGCTCATAGCCTGGGGAAGAATAGATCAGAAGTCAAGGCCTTGAAAGCACCTCAGTTCAGGAACAGGCATTTCAAGGGCAAGGAAAAGCTCACACTTTTTAATAAAGTGACTTCAAAATGTAAGGGCTAAATATTTAGCGGGGGTGTTACAAAGGGGAGGGGGAGGTAGGGCAGATATAACAGAAGTTAACATGTCACCAGGGGTCCATGAAGATTCTCAGTCATCCAGGTGATGGTTGTCCCAAAGGTGCTTTTTCAGGAGGCAACTGGACTCTCTTGTTTAGAAAAAACAAAACAAAACATAGGACAACCATGTCCTGGATGACTAAGAATCTCCATAGACTTTTAGCTATGCACTTTGGGATGAACACCCTTAGAATGGGGTGGGAGTATGAATGGGATTTCCAGAAAAATTGCAGGCTACAGGAACCATTTGCGCTTCAGTTTGAGATGCAGACAATACAGACTCATTCCCAATAGCCTGAGCCTGTCTTCAGCGGTGAAGGGACATAGGGCAGAAAAACATCCTGCAGCCAAAAAGGCTCCACACCCATTTGCACCACTCAGGTGACCCTGAGGACACAGATAAACTTCCAAGTGGCCTCAAGGACTCTCTAAAAAGAATGCAGACGACCAGCTGTCTTCAAGGAGTATAAACCCTTCCATTCTCCACCATCCAGTCAGAGCTGAAGAAGCTTCTTACATGAGAAAGGAAAGATCTTCAAAGAAAAAACAAGGAAGTCCAGTTGCCTCCTGAAAAAGCATATTTGGGATTGTCACCAGGGTTTCTATCTACAAATCCAACACCAAGAAGCAGTTAAGAGACTGATAATTAACTCTGAAGTTTACTTATCATTCACGGTTAAGAAAACAAGCTTACTGAATGCAATGAGGAATTTCCCATAACCCCGTCTCTGGTAAGGGGGCAAGGTTAGGATACAAGCTACATTATTTCCATCTGGAGATTCCTTCTCCTAGAGGGGAAAAGAAATCATAAGAGTCAAATAAATGACGCTGTGGAATCTAGCATTAAGCAGAGAAATCAACATCCAGAAAAACACATTAAAAAAAAAAAACAGTCACCAATTGCATCCGTTATATCTGGCAACCCTAAAAAGAAGTTTGCTTCACTATCATGGTTAAAATCCCTGCTTCCGCTCCTGTTGCAAATTCTCTGCTAAACTGATCTTGGTACTGATTTATTTACCATCTCTTCTTTCCTTCCTTATATATTTTTAAATTATCTATTATGTTTGTACTAAAGGTGGGTTTCAGCAGTTCTGACCAGTTCTGGAGAACCGGTAGTGGAAATTTTGAATAGTTCAGAGAACTGGTAAATACTACCGCTGACTGGCCCCGCCCCCATCTATTTTCTGCATCCCGAGTCCCAGCCGATCGGGAGGAAATGAGGATTTTGTAATAGTCTTCCCCTGGAGTGGGGTGGGAATGGAGATTTTACAGTATCCTTCCCCTGCCACGCCCACCAAGCCCACCAAGCCACTCCAACAGAACAGGTAGAAAAAAAATTTGAATCCCACCACTGGTTTCTACTCCATCAATCATCCAAAAGCTCAAGGCAGTCTGCATACCATGTTCTTTTCCCATTTAATTCTAAGAGCAATCTATGGCCATCTGGTTTTTCTGACTCATAGTAAGTGACCTTGTATGATTCCAGGATTGTGGGTGGAGTTTAATTCAGTCCAATTCTTCTCACAGTTTTCTGTTATGGAGTCTACTCCACTGCAGGTTTTTTATACTATTTGTTGAATTTTAGTTGCAATAAAATTTGTCCTTATGTCTGTGGTTAAAGTTTTCCAAGTATAATAAACTGCGATATTGCAGATTTCAGAGGAAACCAGAGACTCCGAGATCTCTCTCCCCTTCCCTTTCTCTCTCTCTCTCTCTCTGAGAGAGAGAGAGGGAGAGAAAGGGGGGAGAGAGGAAGAGAGCGAGAGGAAGGGAGAAAGGGAGAAAGGGAGGGAGAGGGAGGGAGGGAGGGGGGAGAGAGAGCGAGAGGGAGAGCGAGCGAGCAATTTCTTCTCTCCTTCCCTGTTGTCAGATGTCAAATTAATAACAACTGAACAAACATGGACACGTTTCTTAAACTGCATTTTCTACTTCTGAACTTTTCTTACTGCATACTAATTTTAAACACACAGAAATAAGTTTCTAAGTGCTCACTTGGGGGTGCATATAAAAGAAAAAAGTAACAGCATTCTTAGTTTGGAAAATTTGCTGAATTATTTGGGGCAGCCATGGTTTGGTAGAACAGAAACCCAGAATGCTTGGATGGTTGTATGCAAAATGAGACATAGATAGAGTGAATGGCCTCTCTTGTAAAAAAACAATAATAATCCTGATTTTCAAACAGCCCTAATCTTCCAGAGTTTTTCCTCCTCTCCCTCCTCAAAACCATTCCTGATATACTTTTGCCCCTCCCAATCTTCCTAGGACAAGGGCAATCTTAAACACTCAAAGAGCCATTTGGATCCGTTTCCCACAGAAAACACCGAGAGCCACAAAACCCCTCCCATGCCTGACTATTTCCTGAGCGGCCCCAAAACTAGCATATATAGTGTGAATTAAACGTTCTGGGGTTTTTTTTGTTTTTTGTTTTTATTTGTATGCCGCCCTTCTCCGGAGACTCAGGGCGGTTTACAATGCGTTAAGCAATAGCCTTCATACTTTTGTATATTTATACAAAGTCAGCTTATTGCCCCCACAATCTGGGTCCTCATTTTACCTACCTTAGAAAAGATGGAAGGCTGAGTCAACCTTGAGCCTGGTGAGATTTGAACTTGCAGTAATTGCAGGCAGCTGATGTTAATAACAGTGCTTTAGTCTGCTGCGCTACCAGGGCTCCTTCTTCTGAAACTTATCTTTTCTGGATTTATCCATGGTTGGCCTACCGGAGTCAAAAGCTTAATAAATCGCGTGCTGGCGGGTGTCGCACATTGGCAATTGTGACACATATTTTGAGCGACAGGGAGCCGCAGCAGAGGGATGAAAGAGCCGCATGTGGCTCCAGAGTCGCGGGTTGCTGACCCCTGTCCTAAGATCATCCCTCAGCCATCACCATCACTCTTCTCAACTTTTTCCCTGTTCACATGAGCACTAAGACTGTTGAGGGCAATATGCTGACTCTGTAAACCGCTTAGAGAGGGCTGTGAAGCACTGTGAAGTGGTATATAAGTCTTAAGTGCTATTGCTATCTATCCCAAAGCCCTCGTATGTAGAACAACTGTGTTTTAGTACCTGGGTCAAAAGAGCCTAAGTTTTCAGACCCAGAGCATTTAAAAGTAGTGCACAGAATATTTTGCACATCCCTTGGGTTTGTCTACCCTTTTAGCTCACAAAGTTAGTTACAATTCATTCATCTCCACCCCGTGAACACCGGCAGCCAGTACCTTGGAAAAGTAGCCAACAATATGCGCTCCTTGCCTGTCCACCTCAGTAAGGATATAGAAGACAAAGGGCTCCACGTCAAAGTAGAGGGTCTTATGATCCAGGAACAGTTTGGCCAAAAGACACAAATTCTGGCAATAAATCTGGGGGGGAAATAAATCAAGAAGCAGTAAGGATACAAACAAAAAAGTGTGGAATCGAGGACCAAAGAGGAGAAAGAGAAGTGTTGGGTCTTTCCTTATCAAAATAAACAAAAAGTGTCGAGGTAAACTTTCTAAAATAAGAGTGCTTCGTTCACAACGTAACTTGTCTAAAACTAAAATCTGGTTTTTTACAGGAGTGGCCCTCAAACGTTTGGGCACCAGGGATCAATCCATGGAGAGAGGTTTTTCTGTGGCTTCACTTATTTGTGTGGCCCGGTTTCTGGCATGCCACGGCCTGGTGCCGGTCCACAGACCGGGGGATTGGGGACCCCTGTTCTAGAGTGATACCCAGCATCTCCAACTTGTTCAAAAAGCCAAGAACGCATCTAAAGAAAATAAACCTAATGTAAGGTTCCTGTTTTAGAAGCTTTTGAGCCTCAGAAATAGCTATCTGCAAACCCAAAGTTTCCTTCTTTGAACCAGAAACACACCCTACCCCACCCAGGCACCCACATCCTGTGGGGAGCCTTGTGGATCTTTCGGAAGTTAACCTTCCAAAGTAATTCCAGACGACACAGGCCTGTTTCAGGACATGTCCGTGTCCTGGAATTATCGCTTTGCCGATCCCGATTTACAATCAGTTCTGAAGTTGCTTCTTTGAAAAGAAAATGAATTTTCTGCTTTCAGAATGATAGACTCAAGATCACGTGAAAATGGAATCAAGATCAGGTGAAGTATTAGTGCCGCTTTATAAAGCCTTAGTAAGACCACACTTGGAATACTGCAACCAATTTTGGTCACCGTACTACAAAAAAGATGTTGAGACTTTGGAAAAAGTTCAGGGAAGGGCAATTAAGATGATCAAAGGCCTGGAGACTAAACCATATGAAGAATGGCTGCATGTTTTGAGTCTGGCTAGTCTAAAGAAAAGAAGAATTAGGGGTGACATGATAGCTGTATTACAGTACTTGAGGGGCTGCCACAAAGAAGGGGTTAAATTATTCTCCAAAGCACCAGATAGCAGGATTTTTAAAAAAATGATTGGAAACTAATCAAAGAGAGAAGCCACCTTGAATTTAGCAGAAATTGCCTAACAGTGAGAACAATTAACCTGTGGAACAGCTTGCCTTTAGAAGTTGTGGGTGCTCCATCACTGGACGTTTTTAAGAAGAGGCTAGACTTGTCTGAAATGGTATAGGTTCTCTTGCTTGAGCAGGGGGCTGGACTAGCAGACCTCCAAGGTCCCTTCCAGCTCTATTTTATTCTATTTCATATTCTACAGTGTCTTATACATTCCGAAACTTCCTGATTGGTCTTTCCAAAATCCAGTTGCAACCAAGTGTTAAACTATGATTTTATCCACTGTAAAGGTTCAATAGAAGAGCCTCTGTATTATTATGCATGCTCAAGATTGCCCTTTCCCAACCTGGGACCCTTCAGATATTATGTGTTGCCAAATTGGTATCAACTCTGAGTGCCTACATGGACCTTCTCGATTATGATTTGTCCCCAACTTCCAATGGTGCAGATATCACTACTGTAATAGAGATCTTCCATCTTCCTGCTGGTCATCCTTCTCTTGCCTTCCATCTTTCCTATCATTGGAGCCTTCTCCAGAGAGCTGAGTCTTTTACCTGTAATAGTCCTTGAGTTATGGCCATAGTGGAGCCCAAAATTTATGTCACCAAGCATTTGTTAAGTGAGTTCTACCCCATTTTATGACTTTTTTTTGCCAGTCATTAAGTGAATCGTTGCACTTCTTCAGTTGGTAACATGGTTGTTAAGTGAATCTGGCTTCCCCACTAACTTTGCTTGTTGGAAGGTCGCAAAAGAAGATCCCATAACAACAGGAGATTGCAACCGTCATAAATATGAATCGGTTGACAAGCATCTGAATTTTGATCACATGGATATGCTGCAATGCTCATAAGTGTGAAAAACAGTCATAAGTCACTTTTTTCAGTGCCGTTGTAACTTTTAATGGTTACTAAATGAACTGTTGTTAAGTGGAGGACTACCTGTAATATGTCTGAAGTAGGATAATTTGAGCCTAGTCATTTGTGCCTCGACTGACAAATCTGAGCTTATTTGCTCAATGGGATCTTTGTTTTCAGATAAATCCTTTAGAAATTCTGGACAACAACTCTCAAAATGTTATTAAAATCGCATTATTCCCCGTTATTTGCCATCTTTGATACAGCTGTTTCTATATGAAAAGATTGAAGCCTTTTGGCCCATACAAGTTTATCTGCATACAGATAGTCCTCAACTTACAACAGTTCATTTAATGACCACTCGAATTTGACACTAAAAAAGGTGATATATGACCATTTTTTCCACACTTAACTACAGTTGCAGCAGCCCTGGTGGTCACATGATCAAAATTCAGATGTTTTGACAACTGGTTTGTATTTATGACGGTGGCAGTGCCGGGGTCATTTTGCAGCCGCGGTCATTTTGCAGCCTTCTGAGAAGCGAAGTCAATGGGGAAACCATGTTCACTGTTAGTAACAACCATGTTACTACTTTAACCACCGCCATTGACTCACTTAACAATTGTGAGAAGGAAGGTTGTAAAAGGGGGAAAAATTCACGTAAGGTCTCATTTAGCAACGGAAATGTCGGGTTCAATTGTGGCCGCACAATTGAGAAAGAACCACCTGTATAGTTTGTCTTATTTAAAAGCAACTTGCATACGTGGGGAAGAAGTAAATTATATAGTAGTTAATGACTGTTTATGGCTATCCAGAGCGACTGGCTTTGTATCTGAAGAGCAAGATTTTCCAAACAGTGAAGATGGAAAATGCAGGTTCCCAAAATAACAAACTCACCACTTAAGACTACAAAAAAGGAGCACAGTAACAGCCAATGGAAATCCTGCAGCTGAAGTGAGCTCTTACCTTGTGATCTTTCCCATCCACCTCATATACCGAGATGTTGTTTTTGCGGTAGATTTCTTTCCCTGGGGGTTGCCGCCATTGACATTGGCCCTGGAAGAACAAGAAGAAGGAAAAAACCATCTATGGGTACCAAAACTGATGTTTTTTTTCCTGAGGAATTCCACCCAATGACTTGTTCAATGCAGCTTCTGCATTCATTTGGCTTTTGAGCAAGTTATTATTCTTCAGTTTCATTTTAGCATTGTTCGTTTAGATTTTTCCAGCTGACAACATTGGAAGTACTGAATCTAAATATAGGTAACCCTCAACTTGCAACAGTTTTGTTTAGTGACCGTTCAAAGCACTGAAAAAAAGCGACCTATGGCCATTTTTCACACTTACGACCACTGCCGCACCATGGTCATGTGATCAAAATTCAGCCTCTTGGCAACTCTTGACCTTGGCCTCTTGTATTTTTGACAGTTATTGTGTCCTGGCATCATGTGATCACCTTTTGCGACCTTCTGATAAGCAAAGTCAAGAGGCAAGCCAGATTCACTTGGACAACCACATTATTACCGTTAACGACTGCAGTGGTTCACTTAACAACTGCAGCAAGGAAGGTCATAAAATGGAGCAAAGCTCACTTAAACAACTGTCTCACTTAGCAACAGAAATTTTTTTGTTCAACTGTGATCATAAGTCGAGGGCTACCTAAATGCAAATTCAAATATACTAATATACACTGATCCCCAAACACTGTTTTCTCTTCCTTCTGATTCTGTCTCATTCCAGTTACAGGTTCTCTGGTGCGCCATTCTCTCCCACCCCAACCTTCCCCAGCCCTCGGCCCCTGGCAACTGTCCTCCCCCTTGCGTACAAGGTGATAGCGGTAAGTCTTCTCAAACTTCATATACTTGAGGCAGTATTCGCAGATCCACAGCTTGGGCTGCTTCCCGTAGTCTTCTGGGAATGGTGAGAAATACCAAGCGTCAATCTCATAGTTCCCGATATGGATTTTGTCCACATATTTCACTTTGGTGATCTGAGAAGAGACAAAAGTAAGCAGTCTCCTACAAACACAATCAGAACAATGGTGCTTAGAATTATATACCGCTTCACGGTGCTTTACAGCCCACTCTAAGCGGTTTACAGAGTCAGCGTATTGACCCCACACTTTGGGTTCTCATTTTACAGACCTCGGAAGGATGGAAAGCTGAGTCAACCTTGAGCGGGTCAGGATTCAAACTTCTGGCAGTGGGCAGAGTTAGCAATAGCAATAGCACTTAGACTTATATACCGCTTCACAGGGCTTTACAGCACTAAGCGGTTTATACAGTCAGCATATTGCCCCAACAGTTTAGGTCCTCATTTTACCGACCTCGGAAGGATGGAAAGCTGAGTCAACCTTGAGCAGGTCAGGATCAAACTTCTGGCAGTGGGCAGAGTTAGCAATAGCAATAGCGCTTAGACTTATATACCGCTTCACAGGGCTTTACAGCACTAAGCGGTTTATACAGTCAGCATATGCCCCAACAGTTTAGGTCCTCATTTTACCGACCTCGGAAGGATGGAAGGCTGAGTCAACTCTGAGCTGGTGAGAATTGAACTCCTGGAGTGAGCAATGAGTTAGCCTGCAGTACTGCATCCTAATCACTGTACCACCACGGCTCGTAATGCTCCCTTTTCCAAAACTCTTCAGGTTTCAATCCAGACACGGCTACGCCAGGTACGAATAAACACTCACCGCCTCATGTTCCTTCTCCAAAGCTGCTGTGGTAGGATCCATCTCGGCATATGTCTGTGGTGGGGATGAAAAACCGCTTTGGTGAGTAACAGCAAGCATTTCCTGGAAAAGCCACCTTCTACTGCCAGCATAAGGGTAGCAATAGCACCAAAAGTGCAATCGGGTACAGGTAGTCCTCCACTTACAACAGTTCATTTAATGACTGTTCGAAGTTACAATGGCACTGAAAAAAGTGACATGATCATTTTTCATACTTACGACCATTCCACGGTCACATGATCAAAATTCAGCCGCCTGGCAACTGGCATGTATTTATGACAGTTGCAGTGTCCTGGGATCATGTGATCCCCCTTTGAGACCTTCTGACAAGCAAAGCCAATGGGGAAGCCATGTTCACTTAACGAACATGTTATTAACTTAAGAACTGCAGTGGCTCACTTAACAACTGCGGCAGGAAAGGTCGTAAAACAGGGCAAAACTCACTTAACAATGGTCTCACTTAGTAAAAGGAATTTGGGGCTCAATTGTGGTCTTAAGTCTTTTTTCACCCCACCTCTGGAATGGATAGAGATAGTCCTCCACCTACGACCATTCAGCAACCACAGGCTCTCCACCACCTGAGGCACCCCATGCTCCACATAATGACTGCAATGGGGTGAGTTGGGATTGCCAAGGGTGCCTTTCTTAATGAGAGCAGCAATTTAGTGTTTGTAATAATGGGCTCAATTGTGATTGTGAGTTGAGGGCTGCCTGCACTGTGTAGCACAGCACAAATTCCACCTTCCCAGCCATCTCTCCCTTGTACAACACCTTTTGGACATGGTTGATTTCATCATGCTTGCGCTTCTGATTGCGTGTGATCTTGCGCTCGGGCTGCTCCGAAAGCTCATTCATGTATTGATCGGTGTTCTTCTGCACAGCATCCTTGACTGTCTTGGTGAGGGCCAGCCGGTTCTTATCCACCCACTCATCCAGACGCCGGTTGACTGTGAGAGATGGAGGAGAGTTAGGAGATCACAGAAATCTCACATTCCCCCACTCCCTTTCCAACCACTCCATAGAAAATGTTCTTTAGCTAGAAATCGAATTATGAGAACGAGAAGGTCAATCCACCCTGCCTTTCTCTACTCTGGGGTAAACAGAAGGTAGGCTGGAATCTACTGATGGACCTGTAGATCAGGGGTGTAGAACCTTGGCAACTTTAAGACCTGTGGACTTCAGTGCACAGATTCTGGGAATTTAAGTCCACAAGGCCTTTGAGGTAGGACATCCCTGATCTAGATGATCAGCAAGGATTTCTGACTGCCAGTGATTTATCAACAGCAAACAAATATCACCACCCCAAACAAAGCCTTGACTGTTGTCCAAAATTATGTACAGCAGCTTCAATTTTAGTACTAGAAAAAACTAAAATCCAGAATGGACATTAAGCAGAATCTTCATCCTGATTCCATCCATAAACCCTCCTTCAGCTTCTTCTTTGAGTTCAATATTGAACTGAAGGCATACATTTTTTTTCTTCTGCTTCTTTTTCTTACAAACTAGGATAATTGGCACAACTTGGGTTATATCACACAGTGCTAAGGCACATTATGATGGTTCTTTATCTAACAAATTATCATTTGTGTGCAGAAAAATAACACCTTACTTAGACATCTACCCAAAGCTATATCTAAACTAAATCTGCCTATGCTCATCTGATCTCAAAATGACCTGATGAAACAATTTAATTTATGGAAGACTACAGGAAAAAAAGTAGTTATATTTAATTGGATTAATTCAGTTGGTTAGGAGTTCAAGGAATTATCATTCCAGTTTATCTGCAGGGTATGAGATTAGAGAAGACTGAACTAGATCAGATACCTCTAATTCTCTCTTCATTATTCAGATCAGAATCTCAAAACGGCACTTACATCCTACATAGTGAACATAAAATTCCTCTCTGGCTTCTTGTTCGTTGAGCCGAGACTGAATCACCTCTGCAGAATCTGAAGGGGAAGCAACCATTAATCTGGTTAAAGGACATTTCAGTCATGAAAATGAGAAATATAAGTCAGTAAAAAGACTACTCATCTTTTTTTCAAAAGGTAGTAAGCCAGCATGGGAGTAGCCTATAAAAAGTTATAGGCATTCTTACCATCCAAGCTTGAGGCATTAACAGGGATCGTGTGTACATGTAGTCCTGGACTCACAACAGTGACCATTCAAAGTTACATCACTTGAAAAAAGTAACTTTTTACCATTTTTCACACTTACAAATGTTGCAGCATCCCCTTGGTCACATGATCAAATTTCCAATGCTTGGCAACTGACTCATATTTATGACGGTTGCAGTATCCTGGGGCCATGTGATCACCTTTTGCGACCTTCCTGCAAGCAAAATCAATGGGGGAGCCCAATTCACTTAACAACCGTTTTAGTAACTTACTACCTATGATTCACTTAATAGCTATGACAGGAAAGGTCATAAAATGGGGCAAAACTCATTTAACAGATGTCTTGCTTAGTAACAGAAAATTTGGGCTCATTTGTGGTCATAAGTCGAAGACGACTTTTAATTAAGTTCAGGAGTATGAACAAAGAGAAGTTTCCCCTTATTTCTATAATATGTACAAGGATACTTTAGAGAAGTGCAATAGAATAATGAGAATGCAATTAGTACATGCATATTCAATTGCAATTAAATTATACATTCAGTGTATTATAGCTAGTCCTCAACTTATGACCACAATTTCTTTTGTTAAGTGAGTTTTGCCCCATTTTACCACCTTTTTTGCCACAGTTGTTAAGTGACTTACTGCAGTTGATAAGTTAGTAACACAGTTGTTAAGTGAATCTGGCTTCCTCATTGACTTTGCTTATCAGAAAGTCGCAAAATGGGATCACATGACCCCGGGACACTTCAACCATCATAAATATGAATCAGCTGCCAAGCGTCTGAATTTTGATCACATGACCATGGTGGTGTTGCAAAGGTTGTAACTGGGAAAAACGGTCGTCACTTTTTTCAGTGCCATTGTAATTTTGAATGGTCACTAAGTGAACTGTTGTAAGTCGAGGACTGCCTGTATTGTTAATCAGATGTGCTAAGGATCACAGTCTTAAATGACTACTGAGACTTGAAGCTGGAAGGACATTCAGACATCAGGCAACAGTATTAGTCTAGCGTTGGGTATCATGTAATAATTTATATGAAAATGATCCTTCCGCTGGTGGCTCTAATACCGTATTACCTGCTTCACAACCCCATATGATAAACTTCCTTCTTCTCCTTGGGAAATGAGGTACCTGAGCATTTCACAATTATATGTGGCTCACCTTAATGCTTAACACTACACAGGATGAATTTGGCTTTAGATATTTCACAGCATTTTAGGAATCTTTAAAATAATTTGAGATTCAAAGTTGTAAATCAGTAATTGTCTTTATAAATAATAATTACTGTTTGCAATCTCTGATGATACTTTTAATACCATCAAACATCATCATCTGCCTGTCCCAGGGCTTTGGGAAGGATTCACAGGTAGGCAAAAATGCCAAATTGGGTCTAAACATCTGGTTGATTGGGCAACCGATAATAACAACAACTTTAGAATTCAAACAGGTAAGCACCTGCCACATAACATTGCAGAATTAATAACTGTCAATAAGAAAAACAAAAAGTCTGGATAGTGAATGTTGCAGCATCTGGAGGCGGCAAGAATAGAAGAGAAAGAAAGAAAGAGAAAATTACACAATACAAAAAAAAAACCTGCAAATAGAGTGACTAGCATAGAAAGCAAAAATGGTATCAATAGTAATAGGCACAAGTCATAAAGGGGCCATATTTCCGCACCTCTGTAGAGGGTCTCCTGTTTGAGTAGATAGTTGGACTATAAGACCTCCAAGGTCCCTTCCAACTCTGTTATTTTGTTTACTCAAGGCAGCGCTAGCCTCCCCTCTTGTGTTTTTCTCCACATCAACCCTGCTAATTAGGTCGGGCTCAAACAGAATGACCACTTCCAAGACATCCACTAAATTTCCATGGATACTGGTAGACTTGAATCTGGTCTTCTCTGGCCGTAGTCTGATATTTGAACTACAGGTAGTTCTCGACTTATGACCAAAATTCAGCCCAAAATTTCTGTTGTTAAGTGAGACATTTGTTAAGTGAACATTTGCTCCATTTTACAACTTTTCTTGCCACGGTTGTTAAGTGAATCTCTGCAGTTGAAAAGTTAGTAACAGAGTTGTTAAGTGAATCTGGCTTCCACATTGACTGCTCATCAGAAGGTGACAAAAGGGGATCATGTGCCCTGGGGATACTGCAACCGTCATAAGTACGAGCCAGTTTGATCAGGTGACCATGGGGATGCTGCAAAGGTTGTAACTGTGAAAAACAATGTCACTTTTTTTCAGTGTTGTTATAACTTTGAACGGTCATTAAATGAACTGTTGTATGTCGAGGACAGCCTGTACATGTAGTCCTCAACTTAAAACAGTTCAATTAGTGACCGTTCAAAGTTACAACAGCACTGAAAAAAGTGGCTTACGACCGTTTTTCACACTTACCATTGCAGCACCCTCATGGAGGTCACATGATCAAAACTTGGCCTCTTGGCAAGTGGTTGATATTTACCACGGTTGCAGTGTCCTGGGGGGGGGGGTGTCACGTGATCAGCTTTTGCAAACTTTTTCAAATCCCATGGTCACGTGATAACTTTTGGCAACCTTCTGACAAGCAAAGTCAAGGGGGGAAACCAAATTCACTTAGCAACCCGGGTCACTAACTGAACAACTGCAGCGATTCACTTAACAACCGCGGCAAGGAAAGTCGTAAAGTGGGGCAAACTCACTTAACCAACCTCCCACTTACCTACATCAGTTTTGGGGCTCCGTTGGGGTCGTAACTCGAGGACTCCCTGTACTACAAACCCTGGGCCGCCCTGATCATCGGTGAAGGCGCACTGCGGCGAGCGTTTCGATGCTTTTCCACGTGAAATGCACGCACGCACACACACACACACACACAAACACAAAGCGCTGAAAAACAGAAGGAAGGGAAGGCGGGGAGGGGGGCACTTACGCCACGTCCCGTCCCCTCGCCGACACAGGTAGGTCTCTCCGATCTCCACGGTGACTTCAGCCTCTCGAGAGGGCGGCGACGAGGACAGGCGGCTATGGTGGCCCAGGCCTCCCGCGCTGCCTTGCCTCGGCGCCTCCTCTTCCTCTCGCCCCCCCGGCCCCAGGCGTCGTGAGTCCGAACCGGGGGGGCTCCCCCTGGCCCCTCCGCCTTCGTCCGCAGCGGAGGCCGGGTCGCCTCCTCCGGGCCCGGCCGCCGCTGCCATGACAACCGCCACCGCGACAACAACTCAGGCGCGGGAAAGACGCCCCGGTCGCATCTAACGGCTCTCCCAACCCCCACACTTTACAGGCCCAAACCGGAAGTGATTTCCCTGGGTCATCATAGAGATAAAATTTCCCGGCGGGGGCGCATACGTGTGACGCAAACCCGCCCTGGTCACGTGACGCCACTCCTTCACCTTGCGCTGTGCGCTGTGCTGCTGGGAAATCGAGTTTCCTGACTGTCTATCTATATCAGTGTTTCTCAACCTTGGCCGCCTGAAGATGCGTGGACTTCAATACCCAGAATGGCTGGGGGATTCTGGGAGTTGAAGTCCACGCATCTTCAGGTGGCCAAGGTTGAGAAACACTGGTCTATATCTATATGGAAGTCATTCAAGTCATGGTTGTCTCAAAGGTGCTTCCCCCCCCCCCACAAAAGGCAACTGGATTTTTTTTTTTTTTTTTTGCCAAAATCGAGTTGCCTTCTGGGAAAAGAAAAAAAAAGCACCTATAGGATGAGTTCCCTGACATTTGATTCACTGTGATATTAAGCCGAACCCTGTGCTTTCTTTTCCAGGGATACAGCGCCACACACCTGAAGGTCCTTCAGATATTAATGTACAATTCCCAGAAATTCCAGCCACTGTAGCCAATGAGAAGGAATGCTGGGAGTTGTAGTTCAGGAACACCTGGAGCACTGTAGTTCAGAAACATCGCTAGTATGGTGGAGGTTGTGCTTTCCAGCTGTTACCCGAATCCAATGGGATGTTCTTTTGTTCTCCATAGGGACTATTTTTTGTTAAAATTGCTCGATAAAAAGTAAAGCGAATACAATTAATTTTACCCTGCATCATTATAGTTATTAGTTGTCATTATTATTATGCATCATGTCTAGTCTAGTGAAAAGAAGGATTAGAGGCGACATGATAGCAGTGTTCCAATATTTGAGGGACTGCCACAAAGTTCGCATCCAGTTTTTGGTCACCATGTTACGGAAAAGATGTTGAGACTTTGGAAAAAGTGCAAAGAAGAGCAACTAAGGCTATTAAGGGCCTGGAGATAAAAACATATGGAGAATGGTTGCAAGAATTGGGAATGGCCAGTCTAGAGAAAAGAAGGACTAGAGGTGACATGATAGCAGTATTCCAGTATTTGAGGGGCTGCCACAAAGAAGAGGGGGTCAACTTATTTTCCAAAACACCAGAAGGCAAGACAATGGATGGAAACAAATCAAGGAGATAAGCAACTCAGAACTAAGGAGAAATTTCCTAACAGTGAGAACAATTAATCAGTGGAAAGACTTGCCTTCAGAAGTTGTAACTGCTCTACCACTGTTAAGAAGAGACTGGACAGCCACTTGTCTGAAATGTTATAGGGCAGTGATGGCTAACCTTTTTGCTGTCGCGTGCCAAAAGCAGGGGGAGCGTGGGGGGTTTCTCTCGTGCATGCCCTCACCCATAATTCAATGCGTCCCGCTCCCACCCATGCATGTGCATGCGACCCCCTCTGCTCTTGGCACGCGATGGCACGATGCCAAAATGGGTCAGATAGGCCCATTTTTTGCCCTCCCCAGGCTCCTAGAAAGCCTGGGGAGAGTGAAAATGGCCTTCCCCACCCCCCTGGAGGCCAGAAACGGCCCATTTCCCAACTTCCGGTGAGCCTGAAAATCAGATGGCTGGTGTATGCATACACGCTGGAGCTGAGCTAGGACAATGCTCGCGTGCCCACAGATATGACTCCGTGTGCCACCTGTGGCACGCGTGCCATAGGTTTGCCATCACGGGTATAGAGTCTCCTGCTTGAGCAGCGGGTTGGAATAGAAGACCTCCAAGGTCTGTTATTCTGTTATACTGCAAGTATTTCAGTTAATTAAACTGAAGTGACTGAATGATCAAAATACATCACATACCAAGATATACAAGATCAGACAAAGCTTGATTAGAAGGAGATAAAACTCATGATATCTCGTGTAGAGTTCATGTAGGATCCTCCGAGTATGAATATTTGGAGTTCCAAAGGGACTTATTTTTTTTTTAAAAAAATTGTCATGCTTCTTGTTAGAATTTCTGCTATAGGGCTTTTTAAGAAAGGTGATGTAGGTAAGTTATATAAATAATACTATATCAGTGATGCTACTGAATGCTAATAGCAATAGCATTTAGGCTTTACAGCCCTTGCTAAGCTGTTTACAGAGTCAGCATATTGCCCCCAACAATCTGGGTCCTCATTTTACCAACCTTGGAAGAATGCACTTGATTATCTGATAAACTTTTTCACTGAAACTTTTTTTTTTTATAAACTTTGATGAAAAGAAGAATATTTTGTTTTTACTTTTATAAACCTGATGCAGTGCAGACAAAGCTTGAGGCTGTATGAAATTACATTTTTAATGAGTTATTATTGAGAAACACTGATGAAAGCATATGATTACAATTAATCTGAAACACCATCAGTACAAAATTAATAAAATGCACTAGGGCAAATATTCTATACACAGCCTTTTACTCAATTGTTATTCAAGAGTATCACTAAGGAACTTACTTAACGTACGAAGGACAGGAACGTTTCTATTGCTCTCTATGAAAAGAGCCAGCATAAATGAAAACATGCCTTTTGTTTTTACATTTTTAAATAATTTCAGACTATTTTTTTGATGCTCTGCTTTGTGAGTTTCAAGTTAAGTGCTATCACGGCAAGTAAAGCAATGTTTTAATTTTAACATTGCTCCTCAAATTTGTTGTGGGAATTGTTTTATCTTATATAACGCCCCCATTTTTTTGGCATCCTATTTCCCCATGAGTGCCAATTTGATGCAGTAGTGAAAGTATCAGGTGAGACTGAGTTCTAGTTTCATGGCTCCCGCCTTAGGCACAAAGCCAGCTGGGTGATCTTGGGCCAGTCACCTTTTCTCAACTCTAGGAAGGAGGCAATGGCAAATCACTTCTGAAATACCATTGCAAAGAAAACTGTCACACTTGACCAGTCTCCAAGAATCGGACAAAACTGAAAGAAAGGGGGAAGGAGTATTTCCCTAAATGTACAGTTATGGAATAACTGGATTACATCAATTTATTGTTTTGACCCTGTTGGCAATAACATTTTCTTAAAAATTGAGGATGGATTGACAGAAAAATTGGACAAATGACTTCTAAGAATTGTGCAAGATGTGATGTGAATAATTCATGAATCAGTAGGATGCAGTAGAAATTAGTTAAGGCTTTGAAATCAGTCAAATGTATCTAGAGTGTCCTCTACTTACAACAATTCATATAGTGACTAAATGAACAAGACTGAAATCTTTTTTCACAGGGGAATGTTGCAGCATTCCCATGGTCATATGATAACTTTTTGCAATCGTCTGACAAGCAAAGTCAACGGGGAAGCCAGATTCATTTAACAACCATGTTACTAATTTAACAAGTGCAGTGATTCACCTAACTATGGCAAGAAAGGTCATGAAATGGGGCAAAACTCACTTAACTATCTTGCTTAGCAATGGAAATTTGAGGGGGGGGGTCAGTTGTGGTTGTAAGTCGAGGAGTGTGTTTCCTTGTCACCATGACTGTAGTGTGAGAAAGTGAGCCGATAAATGTATAGTTACTCCAGTACAGATCCATTATGTAACTGATACAAGATTTTTGTGTGCATCCCCTTAGTTATCTGAAAGAGAAATTCAATAGGCTTGCACATTATGTCCATGACTAAATTATTTTACCAGCTGATTGGAAAGTCATTATTTTTAGCGAAGTGATTCTTTGCAATGTCTGAGTGAGAAATTGAGACATAACACAGCACTGGGACAGCAGGTAGAAATGATTATAGGGCCTTTTTGTGCACTGAAGCACAGCTATTTAGGCTAACAAAATTCCTGGGGACAGAAATGGGTGCAACACCGAACATGCCAGGGTGTTCTACAATTACAGGTAGTCCTCAATTTACAATAATTGAGCCCCAAATTTCTGTTGCTAAGTGAGATATTTGTTAAGTGTGTTTTGTCTCATTTTATGACCTTTCTTGACACAGATGTTAAGTGAATCACTGCAGTTGATAAGTTAGTAACCCGGTTGTTAAGTGAATCTGGTTTCCCTATTGACTTTGCTTGTCAGAAGGTCACAAAAGGTGATTATGTGATCTTGGGACATAGCAGCAGTCATAAGTATGAACCAGTAGCCAAACATCTGAATCTTGATCAGGTGATCATGGGATGCTGCAAAGGTCGTAACTGTGAAAGACAGACATAAATCACTTTTTTCAGTGCAGTTGTAACTTTGTCCGGTCACTAAATGAACAGTTATAAGTCAAGGATTACCTATATTGTCCTGTTTCTAGGAATTTCAAGGCTTTTGTTCTTTTATTATAGATAATTCTCGACTTACAACTCTTAAGTCCTGCCGGTTGTTAAAACAGGTCACAAGACTGATCCCAATTTTGCAACCTTTTGTGTGATGGTCGTTAAGCGGATATGGCGATTGTAAAGCAAGTCATTTGTTGAGAAGTGAATCCATTACTCACAACGGGAGTATTTTTGCTGAAACCTGGAAATAAATGCCAGTTTCTAGCAAAAAAACCAACAACCTTATAATGTGACCGCGGGACAGTGCAAATAGCTGTTAAATGTGGACCAGTTGCTGAGCAACCCAAATGCGATCATGTGACCGCAATGAAAACTTCAGATCTGGGTTATAAGTACCCCTGGGCAGGCCCTTTATCGTTAAGCCACCCATCATAAATTGAGGACTACCTACCTTCTTTCTGACCTAAGTGGGAATCCGTGAAACTCAACAGTTCACACTACCTTGTAAATATCCCTCCAGCTGGTTTTGTTTCGAAAAGGAGAGTGACTTCACCATTGTATGATTCCCCTGCCCAAACACGCAACTGTCATAATGAAGCAATAAAGTTGAAACCTGGTCTATTCCAATGTTGTCACATAATACTAGGACCAGATCACACCCTATTTTCAAACACGTTACCTGATATGGGGAAGTTCTGTCTCAGTGATTGAAACACTAGTTTCTGTGGAAATGACTAAGTTACAGGTACGTGTGTCAGGTAGACTTCTTAATTATTTAACTGTAGAATAGCATTCAATTTCATTTTGTTTTCATCCTGGCTCTTACGAATGAAGTTCTGAAGCTAATCCAAGAACGTTGACTAAAAAAAAAAAAAAACACCCAAATTTTGTCAACGATCTGATGACTGACTTAGTTAATGAGAAGCTCATATGTGACTTTTGGAGGTCACTACTTCGTCTATTGCTCACCTCTTGAGATGAGTCCATGAGATGTCATTGACTCACCACTAATGACGGTTCTTCCTGCCCATGGTTTTTGTAGTATAGTGGGTACACAGAGCTTGGAATGGATCCAGCACAAATCATCAGCAGAAAAAGTAAGCAATCCTATAGAGTTCTGAACAGTTACACCTCTAAAAAGATGGGCCTGTTCCATAACGATAAAAGGGCATTTAGAAGTTTTTACAATTATTCTAAAATCCAGTCAATAGTCAAAATGTCTCAGTTCTCAGACAGAATTTTACTCTCTTGACTGCGAAAGTAATACCTTTGGATAAGAACAGGTAGAAGCATCGGTACGGAGTTTTAAATCAGTTCGTAGTTTTCTTGTAGTTATCATAAACATATTATCTGTATAATGTCAACATTAATGAAACTTCTTGAATGGGTTAATGAACGTTTTCTAGATAATACTGTAATTAGCTCAATGAAAAAACTTCAAAGTATAATTTTACGTTTACTTCAGATTACCAAAAAAACCCAAAAACCCTGTGGCCCAGAAAATAAATCCTGCTATGCTTTCCCTGGCTACAGAGCATAAACAAAAAACAAGATCCTTAGAAAATCCTTTTGCTTTTCCGCAGAGCAGATGGAAAATTAAAACTCTACATCATGAGCTGCATGGTAGCAAAAAAAAACAAAGTTAAGCAAAGTAATTAGTTTTGAGTTTCATAGAATAAGCTTGATCCATTTTGCATCCCTAAGGTGTTTTTTTCAGGAGGCAACTGGAATTTGTTTTTTTCCCCTCTCTTTTGAAGAAGTTTTGCTTCTCACCCAAGAAGCTTCTTCAGCTCTGACAGGATAGTGGGGAATGGAAGGATTTATATTCCTTGCAGACAGCTGGTCATTTGCATCCTTTTAAAGGGTCGTTAAAGCATTCCCACAGGATTCCGAATTGTATAGCTAAAAGAGGATGATACCCAATTTGGGATGAACACACTTTGAATCATGCCGGAGTAGGAATGAATTTACAGAGAAAAAAATTGCAGATTACAGGAGCACCCGTCAGGTGACCTTAAGGACACAGATAAATGTCCAAGTGCTTTAACGACCCTCTAATACACGGGTGTCAAATTTGTGGCATTATGTTTCCATCACACGACATATCGTGACATTTTTTTCCCTTTGCGGAGCTGGGGTGGGTATGGCCTGTGTGTGATGCAACCGGCCCACAGGCCCAGGTGTGAAATGCTGCCGGTTTGGCCAAACCCGTAGTAAAAAATGCGACTGGTTTGCCAAACTGGTAATAAAAAAATGTAAAGAAGTTCCCACGATCAGCTGAGCAATGTGGGATCATGGGAACTTTTTTTTTTTTTTTTACTTTTTAAGCATTTTTTATTACAGGTTCTCTGGAACCAGTAGTTAAAAAATAAAAAAAAAGTTCCGACAATTGCGTGTTGCAAGCATTTTTTTATTACGGGTTCGGGTGAATAGGTAGTAAAAAAAATGCTTTAAAAAGTAATAAAAAGGCTTGTACGATCGCATGGCACAGCTGTGATCGAGCCTTTTTTTTACTTTTTTAAAGCATTTTTTTTTTACTACCTATTTGCCTGAACCAGTAGTAAAAAACGCTTTAAAAAGTTTTTTAAAAGGTTCCCAAGATCGCGCACGACAGCTGATTCCCCCCCCCCCCCGCTTTTCTACTTACCTTCCCATGCCTCCTTTTGGTGTGTGGTGCGCAAGCGCACGCAGTGCGTGCTTGGTGCACAGCACGCATGCACGGCCAGCGAACCAGTAGCAAACCGGTTCATATTTCACCACTGCACAGGCCGCCAGTTTAACACTCCTGCTTTAAAAGGATGCAAATAGCCAGCTGTCTGCAAAGAATATAAATCCTTCCATTCTTCACTATCAGGTCAGAATTAAAGAAGCTTCTTGGATAAGAAGCTAAACACCTTCAAAGAAAAAACAAGAAAGTCCAGTTGCCTCCTGAAAAAAGCACCTTTGGGACAACCATGACCCAGATGACTGAGAATCTCTACAGATGTTGTGTTGGTTAATATACAGATAGTCCTTGACTTAAAACCACAATTGGGACTGGAACTTCTATTTTTAACCGATGCGGTTGTTAAATGAATTTGTTGTGGCCCATAAGTGGCCTGTGCAGCTAGTAGCTGATTCCGACAGCGAGGAGGCTGGTGTGGTGCTGCGCCAGCAGCCTGTGCAGCTGGCATTCGAGTCAGACAATAAGGAGGCTGGAGAAGATGTGGTGCCAGAGGTGGGGATTCAGCCAGGGCCTTCAGAACCTCCAGAAACTTCCATAAGTGAAGAAGAAGAAGAGGAGGAGCCTCTTCTCGATGCACGGGCGCGCAGAGCTGCCAAAAGGCAGAAGTGGCTCTTCAGGAGGAGGTCTCCTCGAGAGTAAGGCTTGGGGCTAATTGGCCACTCCCTTAGCCTATTTAAGGAAGGACGACGACTGAAGCAATTTGCAGGGAATAATTTCGTTCACTCTTCTTCGCGTCTGAATCTTAGTTCTTTTATCAGTTTCTTGCAAATTGCTTCTGGGCTTTCTGCCAACCATAGTAAGATTACGATTATTTATTCTTTGGATTCTTGTAGGCTGTTAAGAAAGTTAATTAACAGCCTTTGTTTGAAAAAGACTGATTTAATTTAGTAAACTAAGGTTTGTACAGACTTGGTGTGTGCTGCGTTCTTTGGGGTCCGTAGCTGGGGCAGAACAGAATTATGTGGCCACACCCTGATTTAAAACATTTTTTACCAGCGTCGTTATGCAAGGCATGCAGTCATTAGGCAAATCTGGCTTTCCTCCATTGATTTTACTTGTCAGAAGCCAGCCGGGAAGGTTGCAAAATTGGCAATCACGTAACTCCGGGAACACCGCAACCATCTTAAATGCTGGTTGCCAAGATCCTGAGTTGTAATCACATCACCGCTCTGCAATTAGTCATCTTTTATTCAGCACCATCATAACTTTGAGGACTACCTGGAGCAAGATGTCAAGTTGCTAGCTCTTAACCCTATTGTAAACTAGCTTTAATGGGAGCCCTCTGAAGCAGCATGGCAGCATGGCCTCTGTCATAGGGACATGCAGGTAGTCCTCACTTACAACAGTTCATTTAGTGACAGTTCAAAGTTACAACAGCATTGAAAGAAACTTATGACCGTTTTTCACACTTACGACCACTGTAGCATCCATTTGGTCATGTGATCAAAACTGAGATGCTTGGCAACTGACTCGTATTTATGAGGGTCGCAGCCTTCTGACAAGCAAAATCAACGGGGAAGCCAGATTCACTTAATAACCAGCTTTCTAACTTATCAACTGCAGTGATTCACTTAACAGCTGTGGCAAAAAATGCTGTAAAATGAGAAAAAACTCACTTAACAAATGTATCACAACCACAGAAATTTGGGGTTCGATTGTGGTCATAAGTTGAGGACTACCTATACTGCACAGATAACAAAAAACAAAACAAAACTATAATTTGGGGAAGTAGCTTCTTTAAACGAGGATAAAGGCAGCATCATGAAGTACCCCACCCAATTGTGACATTCACTAAGGTAGAAATATGGGTAGTTTCGACTTACAGCCATGTGCCTAAGTGACCGTTTGAAGTTACGACGATATGAAAAAAGTGACTTGTGACCGTTTTTCACAATTACGACTGTTGTAGCATCCCCATGGCCACGTGATCAAAATTCAGAAGCTTGGCAACTTGGCATGTATTTAGGACAATTGTAGTGTCCCAGGATCACTTGATCCCTTTTTGCGAGCTTCTGACATGCAAAATCAATGGGGAAGCCAGATTCAGTTCAGTTACTAACTTAACAACTGCATTGATTCCCTTAACAACTGTGGCAAGAAAGATCACTGAATGGGGCAAAATTCATTTAAAAATTGTCTTGCGTAGCAAGAGAAGTTTTGGGTTCAATTGTGGTTTTGCGTCAAGGACTATCTCTGTAAGTTGGAGCACCTCAAAAACTGCTTGAATCGTTCAACAAAAGATGCTATTCTAGGAATCAACCATATTTCGCAACGATTCTGCCTCTGACTGGGACTAGCCTTCTGGGACTTAAAAGGCCAGCCACTGGGCACTGGGATTACACTTTAGGAGAGTAGCATATTAACACTGGTCCCCAAGTTAAGGACAGAAACCTGCTCTTCCCCTGGGTGGACGTGGGCCAGGTGACGGGGAAACTGCTGCTTGTATCGGAAAGTTTTCCCACAGGCCGAGCAGGCGTAGGGCTTCTCCCCCGTGTGGATTCTCTGGTGTTTGACCAGTTTGGAGTTGACATAGAAGCCTCGGCCACACTGGGGACACTTGTAGGGTTTTTCTCCAGTGTGGATCCTCTGGTGCTCGATCAGAGACGAGCTTTGGGAGAAGCACTTCCCGCACTCCTCGCACCGGTAGGGCCGTTCTCCAGTGTGAACGCGGTTGTGCGAGACGAGGTGGGTCTTCTTCTTGAAGCGCTTCCCGCAGAGGGGGCAGGGGAAGGGCTTCTCCCCCGAGTGGGTGCGCTCGTGCTTCAGCAAGTTGGAGCTGAGCGAGAAGCGCTTCCCGCAGAGGGCACAGCTGTACGGTTTCTCGCCTGAGTGGGTGCGCAAGTGCTTCACCAGGTTGGAGGTGCGGCTGAAGGCCTTTCCGCACTCCCGGCAGGGGAACGGGGTCTCTCCCGTGTGGGTGCGCTGGTGCTCGGTCAGAGCGGAGCTGCGGCTGAAGCCCCGTCCGCATTCAGGGCAGGCGAAGGGCTTCTCGCCTGTGTGGATCCTCTGATGGCCCATCAGGGTGGAGCTTTGGGAGAATCGTTTTCCGCACACATTGCACACAAAGGGCCGCTCCCCTGTGTGGATCCTCTGGTGCTCGATGAGCACGGAGCTCTGCGAGAAACACTTTCCACACTCCGTGCAATGGAAGGGCTTGTTCACCACCTTCTGGGGTGCGGAGGACGGAAGAGGAGGTGGCGGTTCCAGGATCCCCAGGAGGTTAATGAAACCTGGAGGATCTTGGGAAACCTCTTTCATCCGGCGTCTTCTCACCTGGCTTCTCCACCTCTGGTCTTCTACCTTGGATTGGTTTTGGCAGTCGTCAGCTGTTGAATAGCTATCGGGGACATCAAGCTCTGCCTGCTCTTTCCCACCTGCATTAATGACACCGCTTGGTCTTCCTTCTCTCTCTATACTCTCCAACATTAAGGCTCTCTGCTCTAGGCTCAGAGTGGCTTCCGGGTCGTGCTCCTCTAGCCATCCTTCTAGTGCTCCCTTCTTGAGATCTTCCATCTCAAGAAGACTTCCAACACCTGCAGAGAGTAGAAAAAAAAAGAAAAGAGTACAGGTAGTTCTCAACTTGCAACATTCATTTAGCGACCGTTTGAAGTTACAATGGCACTGAACAAGGTGACTTGTAACAAGGTGATCATTGCAGCATCCCCATGGTCATGTGATCAAAATTCGGACACTGGGCAACTGGCATGTACAGGTAGCCCTCAACTTATGACCACAATTGAGCCCAAAAATTTATGTTGCAAAATGAGAAATTTGTTAAGTGGATTTTGCCCCATTTTACGACTTTCCTTACCTAACATTTGTTAAGTGAATCATTGCAGTTGTTAAATTAGTACCGGTAATATGGTTAAGTGGAATCTGCTTTTCCCATTGACTTTCCTTGTGAGGAGGTCGCAAAGGAGGATCACATGACCCCGGGACACTGCAACCATCATAAATGCAAGTCAGTTGTCAAGCATCCGAATGTAAATCACGTAACTGTGGGGATGCTGCCATGGTTTAAGTGTGAAAAATGGTCATCAGTCACTTTCTTCAGTGCCGTTGTAACTTTGAACGGTCACTAAACGAACTATTGTAAGTCAAGGACTACCTGCATTTATGTCAGTTAAACTGTCCTGGGGTCACATGATCCCATTTTAACCCGCCCAGCCAGCTTCTGTCAAGCGAAGTCAATGGGGGAAGACAGATTGGCTTAGTGACTGCATAATTCACTTAACAACTGCAGTCATTCTTTTAACAACTGTGACAAAAACGGCAGTGGTGAAATCTAAAATTTGTTACTACCGGTTCTGTGGGCGTGGCTTGGGGGAATAATGTGACTGTGTGGGCATGGCCAATTTTTTTTTCTTTTAAAACCATTTTTTCTATGACCTCTTTGGCAAAAAGTTGTAAAAAAATGCTTTTAAAAGGCTATGACGATCCCAGCTGAGTTGCCTGATCGGCAGAGGCTTTTTTTCTTTTAAATGCCTTTGATGATCCAAGCTGAGTTGCCTGATCGGCAGAGGCTTTTTAAAAAAACCTCTGCCGATCAGGCAACTCAGCTTGGATCGTCAGAGGCATTTAAAAGAAAGAAGGGTTTTTTTTCTTTTAAAAGCCTTTGACGATCCCAGCTGAACCACACGAGGCTTTTTTTTTTTTTAGTTTTAAAAGCATTTTTTTGGCTGAAGAGGTTGTAGAAAAAATGCTTTTAAAAGTAAAAAAAAAAAGCCTCTGATGATTGTGCGGCTCAGCTGGGCATGGGGGGTGGGCAGTGATTTTTCTCCGAACCACCCGCCTCCATCGCTACCAGATTGAGTGATCTGATCCGAACCGGGAGCATTTCATCCCTGAAAAACAGTCGTAAAATGGGACAGAAAACTCACTTAACAACTGCCTTGCTGTCGTAAATCGAGGATTACCTGTACACAGATATCACTTTATCCTAACTGGAGCCAGTTTTTGCATGGAAAATAATCTTGTATCCAAAACAGGTCTCTGTGATGCACTTGCTCCCTTGACACCCAGGGAGCTTTCCATTCAAACCTTCCACTCCAGTATTCAGTGGCCAAAATCGCATAGTTTTCCTAAACTATGAGGATAGAGCCGAGGACTTTGTACAGTATCTGTATGATAAAATCGCTCAGATTAGGGAACATCTGGACTCTGACGAGGTAGATTCAGGGGAGAGGATGGAGGCAGGTCTTGAGAATATTATCTGGGAAGAGTTTGATTCTGTGACTCCTGAAGACGTGGACGGATACTGAGTAGACTGAACGCTGCCACATGTTTATTGGACCCGTGTCCCTCCTGGTTGGTGCTGGCCTCTCGGGAGGTTACACGAGGCTGGCTCCAGGGGATTATAAATGCTTCTCTGAGTGAGGGTGTCTTTCCCACCGCCTTGAAAGAGGCGGTGGTGAGACCTCTCCTCAAGAAGCCTTCCCTGGACCCAGCAGTATTGGCTAATTATTGTCCAGTCTCCAACCTTCACTTTGTTGCGAAGGTTGTTGAGAGTGTGGTAGCACGACAGCTCCCTCAGTACCTGGATGAATCGGCTTATCTGGATCGGTTCCAGTCGGGCTTCAGGCCTGGGTACAGCACGGAAACGGCATTGGTCGCATTGGTTGATGATCTCTGGAGGGCTCGGGACAGGGGTTGCTCCTCTGTCCTGGTCCTATTAGACCTCTCAGCGGCTTTTGATACCATCGACCATGGTATCATGCTCCACCGGCTGGAAGAGTTAGGGGTGGGAGGCACCATGCTGCGGTGGTTCTCCTCCTTCCTCTCCGACTGGTCACAGTCAGTGTTGGCAGGGGGGCAGAGGTCGACCCCGAGGGCCCTTGTATGTGGGGTGCCACAAGGGTCGGTCCTCTCACCCCTTCTGTTCAACATTTATGTGAAGCCGCTGGGTGAGATCATCCGTGGTTTTGGGGTGAAGTACCACCAGTACACTGATGACACCCAGCTGTACATCTCCACCCCAGACCACTCCAATGATGCCCTTGAAGTGATGTCCCGGTGCCTGGAGGCTATCCGGATCTGGATGGGGAGGAACAAACTCAGGCTCAACCCATCCAAGACCGAGTGGCTGTGGTTTCCGACATCCCGATATAGTCAGTTGGTGCCATCACTGACTATTGGGGACGAGTTGTTGGCCCCCACGGAGAGGGCTCGCAACCTGGGGGTCCTCCTGGACTCACAGCTGTCTTTAGAAGGGCATTTTATCAGATTCGCCTGATTCGCCAGTTGCGTCTCTTTCTGGATTGGGACTCGTTAAATACGGTCACTCATGCCGTCACTTCCTGCCTGGACTACTGCAATGCTCTCTACATGGGGCTCCCCTTGAGGAGCACCCGGAGGCTCCAGCTGGTCCAGAATGCAGCTGCGGGGGTGGTTATGGGAGCGACGTGGCGCTCCCATGTGACTCCCCCTCCTGCGCAAGCTGCACTGGCTCCCGGTGGTCTTCCGGATCGCTTCAAGGTTTTGGTTACCACCTTTAGAGCGCTCCATGGCTTAGGACTGGGGTATCTACGAGACCGCCATCTGCCACCAGTAGCCTCTCACCGACCAGTACGCTCCCATAGAGAGGGGCTCCTCAGGGTGCTGTCGGCCAAACAGTGTCGACTGGTGGTCCCCAGAAGGATAGCCTTCTCTGTGGGGGCACCCACACAGTAGAACAAGCTCCCCCCAGAGATACGGAGGATCCCGGATCTGCGCGCTTTCTGCTGTGCCATCAAAACATTTCTATTCCAGGAGACCAGCCTGGCCTAACCTCTCTTTTAAATTGTTTTTAAAAAATTTTTTAAAAAAATTTAAATTTAAAATTTCTCTTATGAATTTGGGGTGTTTTAAATTTTGTTTTCCGGGCCAATTATTTAATTGTATTTTAATGGTTTTTTAACATTTGTATTATATGTATTTTATCTGACTGTTCACCGCCCTGAGTCCTTCGGGAGTAGGGCGGTATACAAATTCAATTAATAATAATAATAATAATAATAATAATAATAATAATAATAATAATAATAATAAAATATGGGGCATATTTGGGAGGAGGTCATCCTGATGCCTCTTTTTAAGGGGCAAGGAATTGTAGAAGAACCTTCTCAAAGTGGATGTCTCAAGATACAATGTGCTGCATTTTCCAAACACCAGCCTGTATGGCTAGTGGCTCAGGTGACTGGGGATTATGGATGTTGTAGCTCCCATAACCTTGTAGAGTCCTTGGTGCTCTTTGAGCTTGGTGGCTTTCTTGCAGACAATTCACTACCAATTTCATTACAATCAAGGAAATTTAATTTCATTATCAGTGCCCTGATAGCAGTGTTCCAATATCTGAGGGGCTGCCACAAAGAAGAAGGGATCAATTCTCCAAAGCACCAGAGGGAAGGACAAGAAGCAATGGATGGAAACTAATCAAGAAGAAAACCAACTTAGAACTAAGGAGAAGTTTCCTGACAGTTAGAACAATTAATCAGTAGAATGACTTGCCTCCAGAAGTTGTGGGTGCTCCCGACACTGGAGGCTTTTAAGCAGAGATTGGACAACCATTTGTCTGAAATGGTACAAGATTTCCTGCTTGACCATGGGGCTGGACTAGAAGACCTCCAAGGTCCCTTCCAACTGTTATTCTGCATTTATGATGTTATCTAATTAGGTAATGAAATGTCTGCACAAAAACAGCAAGCTCAGAGAGCACGAAGGACCCTACAGTTCAATCCTGAGCTACAAATATTATCTTCTATCGCTCCCATAATCTTTCTACAAATCTACATATTGTTGTAGAAAGAACAAGGCTGCAGACGGTCAGATAGGGAATCTATCTGTTCATTGGGAACATAAATCCAAATAACAGAAAACAGAATTACGGAAGGTGCATCTCAACACGGCAGATTCTTCTGCAGCAGGGATGTCAAACTTACGGTGCTTAGATATGGGCCATGGGGCCACCCTGAAAACAGTGAAGGACTTGCCCGCGGTGCCTCTGCCAATGAAAACGGAATTCAGGAGGGCCACCACAGAGGTTTGCAGGAGGACGTCACAGCCGAAAACAGAACTTAGAAGCCAGTTTTTGCTGGCAGAGAGCTTGAGCCACCACAGGCACTCCCGACACAAGTGACTTTGAGTTGGTCCCCACATGCCACCCACCCCCCAAAGTCAAACACAACCCTGATGTGGCCCTCAATGAAATTGAGTTTGACACCCCTGTTCTACAGTAACCAGAAGGCAGGCAGTGTGTGGCATTGTTTCACCGCACACCTTAGATTAGCCAGTCTAATTTTCTGGATATGCACAACAGAGTGAACTGCGGTACTGTATGCCAAGCTGACATGTCATACAACAGGTTGTGGCTCTGTGCATCATTCTGTCGTGATCTATGACATTCAACTCATCTGTGACTGAAGGCAGCTGCCAACTGGCCTTAAGATGTCGATTGGGGCATTTGAAAGCGAATGCAAGAGGAGCACTCAGCCTGCAGAATTTAATTTATAGGGCTTGGGGGGGGGGGAGCCTTTAATATAGCAATTAAACAAGCAGATGGTAAGAACCATTCCCAATCTTGAATTTTTTTAGCAAAGTGCAACAAACAGGTTTCGAAAGAGGAAACAGAAAAAATTGCAAATTTTGAAGAGCTGCATCTTTGCAATTCCTGACATGCTGGAGTTTTGGGCAACTAAACAATCTACTAAATGTTTTCCTGTATTTAGCTTTCCTAACCAGTCAATTGCTCTTCCATTGTGGTACAGACAGTCGAAAGGAAGAATTCTAACCCTACACTGGGAGTATAAATTAATTATATATATGTTTGTTTTTGCAGATTTTCATGGGTAGAGGTATGCAAGTTTTGGTGTATTTGGGTCTTTTCCCATGTAAAATTGAGAGTATCTTGGCGACGTTTCGACGAGGTCTCACTCGTCATCTTCAGGCTGGTGCCTTCGGCTTCATGCCTGTGCGAGCAAAGCGTGATCGGAGCTGCCGTCTCTCTATAAATACTGGTGGGGAGGTGTGGGGTGCTGGCTTAATTGCTGTGAGTGGGTTGGTTGCCTGTGTTGTTACATCTTGATTAGTTGATGGAGTTGGAATTAGAGATGGACTAATCTGCAAACATCAACTCCATCAACTAATCAAGATATAACAACACAGGCAACCAACCCGCTCACAGCAACAAAGCCAACACCCCACAACTCCTCACCAGTATTTATAGAGAGACGGCAGCTCCGATCACGCTTTGCTCGCACAGGCACGAAGCCGAAGGCACCAGCCTGAAGATGACGAGTGGGACCTCGTCGAAACGTCGCCAAGATACTCTCAATCTTACACGGGAAAAGACCCAAATACACCAAAACTTGCATAATCAATCTGCTGCCTGTCATATTTGTTGAAAACACTCGTTTTAAAATATCCCTTCCATCTCCGCTGTTTCATTTCCTCATATCTCATCACCCCCCCAATGCCTTGCTATCAATTATAGAGCTTAAAACCTATTTCTCATAAATAATACAGAGACACATATTATTCTGATTTCCACTTTCCTAGCTTTTTCAAGACTGCATCAAGTTTTCAAGCTGCATATAACCAGCCCGAAGAAGAGTTCCAAATAACATTTATATTTATATTTATATATCTTGCATAATTGGGATACTAATAAATTGCACCAGCTTGCTCGGTGGTTTTGCCTTGCATGGACAAGAAAGGAGTTCTTAAAAGCGTTATGATCTGGTCTAAAAGAAATCAGCAGCTTCTGGCGGTTTTTCTCCGCTCCGCTTCCAATGGCTTCAGGCTCCTTAGATGAGATCTTTATTCTTACCTTTGTCTCTGGATTCCTCCCTTTCCTCCGACCCTCCTAAAGGCTCCCCTTCCATCCCAAGACCGCCCTCGTATCCTAGAAAACGGATTCTGCGAAATCCCCCACACTTTTGCTTTTCGTTTCCTAAGGCAACAATCAAGAGGAGTTGCAAAACGCCAGACAGTTATCACAATCCTACGGCTTGCAAACGGGTAATGCCTACAGCAGGATAAGAGGGAACCCAGTGATGACGTCATATCCTTGAAGTTCACATGATGCAGGGGGAAATTAGAGAGGGCCGGGAGGGGGGGAGAGAATCTTGGGGGCTGGTTGCTAGGAAACCAAAGGAAAGACCCAAGATAAGGACCTAAGAGAGATGGGGGAGGGTGGGGTGGATGAGGACTTTGCTTCGGATACATTACGAAAGATGAGAACAGCCTCCCCCCCCCCATCTTTTTTTCCTTTTCTTTTCATACTGGCAGAAATTCAACAGGAGAAGAATTTACATGGCACAGCTTCGTGGAGGAATCTGCCTACCT